GTCCGTGATAATAATTAAGACTTATGATTGATTAGCACGCTCGGCCAGGTCCATTGTGAAAGTTTAGCATCGGTCGCAAGAGATGAGTTTGGGAGTTAACAGATATTTCCTGAAACTCTTTCCTTGTTGTATTATTATATCTACATCAAAACAACTTTCATTGTCTTGTTAAAATAAGAAAAAAAAACACTTACGCATAAACGCCAACTAGTGGGAAACTATCGCACTAATAACATTGAGGCCCCTAAGGCCATATCTATACTTATCTTAGAATTACCAAATAAATTATGTAAAAAGTGTAGAAAATAAGTACTGGAAAACGGAAATTTGAGAATTTTAGTTACATTATAAATACAGGTAATAAAAATGACCGTTTTTATCTATATATATAAAACTCAAAGGTGACTGACTGACTGACATTGTGATCTATCAACGCACAGCCCAAACCACTGGACGGATCGGGCTGAAATTTGGCATGCAGGTAGATTTTATGACGTAGGTATCCGCTAAGAAAGGATTTTGATCAATTCTACCCCCAAGCGGATAAAATAGGGAATGAAAGTTTGTATGAAACTTTGTCAATTTTAAACCGATCGGGCTGAGACTTTGCATGCAGGTATAAGAAGAATCATAGATTAATGTCATTGAGTATAATACAAGCCTGAGAACAAAAACTGTAGTCTACACTTCAGCTCTACACCGAAGCGAAGCGAGGGGGGGCTGCTAGTTACGTACAAACGGCTGGAGTGATTTTAATAAAATTTGGTATGAAGTTAGCTGACACCCTGGATTAACACATAGGCTACGTTTTACTGCGGTAAAATATACCTAATAAACCGCGGGTTGTACTTTCATAAGTGTAAAGTTCATTTTTTTAAGGGTGACAAACACGCGTATGGCTGATGGTAAGCGGCCACCATAGCATATAGATGCTTGGGATACCAAGACTATCTCTCCCACCTTGACCCAATCCTCTACCCCGTCAAGCCCAGAAATCTTACTTACAGATAGAAACACAACACCATCAAAAGGTAGTGTGTGTTATTTTCGACCACCTCCGAGGCCGAGTGGTTTGTACGCCGGGTTTCATGGTGTCGTCGACTCGAGAGGTCCCGGGTTTGAATTCCGTGGGGGCAGATGTTTGTGTGATGTATACGAGCATTTGCACTCCAGTCTTGAATGTTTAATATGTATTTCTGTATAAATATACTTATATATGTACTGTATATGTATTCTATCCGTTACTTTAGTATTCCATAACACAAACCTTAAAGTGCTTACTTTGGGGCTAGGCTAATTGGTGTGAGTGTTGGAAATATGTATTTATTTATTTTCCTCTGATCTTTTGTAAGGTGAAGGATACATCAACATCCGCTATGCTCTACTTCATTTAAAAAAAAGGATAAATCCTCGTTTACACCTAGGTATAATACATGTATTAAACAAATTGTATACAACGTCTTAAGAAAGAAAGAAAGTTCATAAAAAGCTATTATTCTGATATTTTTCAGATTTTTCAAGCCAGTAGTTAGCTTTTAGAGAAGCGGGAGAACCTATTCGAACAAAAACCTAAGTGCAAAAAATTGCACTTTAAGGTATAATATTTCACAAACGGATTACTAAATCGAAAAATTGGCTTAGAAACCCCTAAGTCGTTTTAAAAGAACTAACCAACGATACCCCATACGATGGGGTAGAGTATGAAAAAAAATCATTATAGGATCGCTACTCCAAAAAACTGTTTTTTAATTCATAATAATTATCAAAATCGGACTACTCTGTATGCGTTAGTTATGCGTGATCATACATAAAAAAATATACGCCTCGAATTGATAAACTCCTTCAGTTTTTTCGTCTTTTGGAAAAACCTAATGTACTGAGACTTTTATCTATCTAAAATAACGCACGGTGAAGAATACAGTCAACTCATTTGCATCCTACTAGTACAGTCAATCTGTAGGTTGAGTCGTGAAAAAAAAACCTAAAGGGTAAGTCTTGTTTTTTCTGTTGCCAAATGACGTCAGTAAGCCACCTTGGCGATGGGCATGTTCAACTCGTAGGCGTTTTTTGAAAAACTCAAAAAAACCGTCAAAAATTTTTTGAAACGCTTTTTTCTTGTTTTGTATGCATTTTAGAAACTTTTTTTTCAACCATAATTGTAGAGGGCGTTGAGTACTACAATTTATGTCATTGTTGCAATCTCGTACAACAAAAAATGCGCATTGTAGGTGGCGTTAAAGTCTCAAAAAAAGGGTTTTTTCACTTATTCACCCTGAAAATATCATTTTAATGGAAAACTTTAAATGGAAAAGTTATTCCGTACATAATTATCAACAACTTTTGAATAAACAATTTTTTTGTATTACTTACCGTTTTCAAGTTATAAATTGCGCAGGTATGAAAAATCCAATAGAGCGGTTTTGGGCATTTCAAGTACACATTTGCAGTGCACATTTCAATGTACGTTTTACTATTTTTTATTTTTTTTCATGATTGAAAAACAAAAAAGACTGAAAAAAAAATAAAAAAAAATAGTTTTATTTTTATTTTTTTTCATGATTGAAATAAAAAAAAGAGAAAACGTACATTGAAATGTGCACTGCAAATATGTAATTGAACTGCCCAAAACCGCTCTATTGGATTGTTCATATCTGCGCAATTTATAACTTGAAAACGGTAAGTAATACAAAAAAAATTTTTATACAAAAGTTGTTGATAATTATGTACGAAACAACTTTGCCCTTTAAAGTTTCTATTAAAATGATATTTTCAGGGTGAAAAAGTGAAAAAACACTTTTTTGAGACTTTAGCGCCACCTATAATGCGCATTTTTTGTTGTACGAGATTGCAACAATGACATAAATTGTAGCACTCAACGCCCTCTACAATTATGGTCGAAAAAAAGTTTCTAAAATGCATACAAAACAAGAAAATGCGTTTCAAAAAATTTTTGACGGTTTTTTTGAGTTTTTCAAAAAACGCCTACGAGTTGAACATGCCCATCGCCAAGGTGGCTTACTGACGTCATTTGGCAACAGCAAAAACAAGACTTACCCTTTAGGTTTTTTTTTCACTGAAACGATATTTTTTTCGACAGATTAACTGTACTATACCTAGGCTCACATTTCATTGTTCACACGTTTCAATTTTCGAATGCAATTAGAATTTATTACACGCGTGGAAGTATTCAATCAAGCTAACATATTACCGAACGTTTATAACAAATGACTGTTGTGTTTGGGGGGCGGGCGTTAAAAAAGTAATTGTTTCAAAACACTTTCGTCGTAAAGATGCTCAGAAAACGCAAATCGAATTTTAATGTTCTCGCTTTCTATATCTATAAGCACGCACCAGAATGTGGCAATTTATAACTGACACATTCTAACTCTACATTAATATTTAATTATTTTTATGGTTCCGTATCTCACAAGGAAAAGTTTGAATCCTTATAAGATCACTTTGTTGTCCGTCGGTCCGTCTGTCCCTCTGTCCTTCCGTCTGTCTGTCAAGACCCTTTATCTCGAAAACACGTGAAGGTATTGAATTGATATTTAAAGCCTATCTCAGATCTACGGTCCCTTGAAGCTGTGAAAAAATCAAACTAATTAGTCAACGTAAAAAAAGAAACGACGATTTATGTTGCAAAAAACGTATCTTTCCACACTCGCAAGGGAATCAAATTGATAGGGTACTTTTCATTGACTAAGGCTATAAAATTAGGCAAGAAATATCGTCTTACAAAAGTACCGGCAAAATCTGAAAACTGCAAAATTGTTACAATATGCGCGGTCATAGTTGTATGGGTGAACAAATATTTTTGTAGTTTTTTTTTCAACTTTATTAAGTAATATTATTACATACCAATTTGTACGGAACCCTCGGTGAGCAACTACGATTCACAATTGTGTGGGTTTTTTACTAACACATGAGCTTTATCATTTAGAGTTGAATAGCTTTTAGTCATTAACTGCGGTTTTGGTTTATCTATTTTCTTTATTATTGTAGAACTTACGGGCTTTATTCTTTAAGCTTTTTATTGTTCCGTAGTCCTGAGAAGAAACCCTTATAGTTTCGTCATGTCCGTCTGTCCGTCCCCGGTTTTGCTTGGATACTGTTAGAACTAGAAAACTGTAATTGTTTGGAGATATGTATTTTAACCACTCTGACAAAATGGTAGAATATAATGAAAATCATTTTTTTAGGGTAGCTCCCCTACATGTAACCCAGGGATGTTTTTTTATCGTCTTCCCTATCGTTTGGGATATCGTTGAATAGGTCCTTTAAAATTAGGGGCTCCTAAGACTATTTTTCCATAAAGTAATTTGAGTAGTGCCCCCCCCCCCCCCCCCCTCTCTAAAAGGAAAATTATTGGCTTGAAAAACCTGAAAGAATTCATGATAATAGTGCTTTCTCATGAAGTTTTAACGAAATATATATAACGGTTAAGATAAGTTTCTTATTTGAAAAGTTATAGTCGTTCAACCTTGGCTAAAGAAAATATCTTACCTATTGAAAATTCTTTAGAAGAAAACATTAAAAGTGTCACAGATGAAGTTATTGTAGCATAAAACCTTTCATTGAAAATCAATATCTATAAAAAAACTATTTTAAAACCACAATTAAATATCATTAGTTCCACACAGCTACCGCGAGTAGAGTAAAATAATGGGCAAAACAGTATTTCATCAGTATTTTACTTAGCAATAGGCAGATTCTGATCAATCCATCACACAAGTGTCCTTACCTCAGCCTTCATAGTTGCATGTTTGTTGTTCTTTAATGTTTACCTATTTGTAACAACGATTATTGCCCGGAGTAATGACACACAAGTTTTAAAAATAACATGTAATCTAAAATACGTAATAACAGAGTCAATCGGACAAGGCCCAATCAGCAACAAAGTAAATTCTAAATAGGTAAGTAGTATAAATAAAACAAAAATAAATATCAGTACAAGTAAGTTCTCGTAATTGCTGGGGTCATAAAATCTACCAATTAAAATGGTAGCGTCGAAGTTAAAGCTTTTAAAACTGGTGTTAATTGAGATACCCGTGGAGTTGTTAGGACTCCCGTCCGTACGTTAAAATATGAAATCAATTGAGTGTCATTTATAAACTCGGCATAAAATTGATTATACAGCAGGCGGAGCAATTATTTAGAAATGTTCACACCACGCGTCTTAAGAGGTTTTATGTACCTTTTATAAGTAAGTAGTTGTAGGCTAATTAAAGCTGGAAAATAGGGAAAGACTGACTCCGGCAACCAATTATCGTTATTTTTAAAATCTAAATTACTGTTTCATTCAAAAGTCTCAAATGGGCTGTTTCTTGTCTATCTGATAGCACCTGCTTTACTTACGCCGAAGTTCGTTAATAAAATAGGTGAGGATTGTTTATTGAATTTACGATTCTTATTAGAGTGAAGCAATCAACGGAAATGTTAGTAATGAGGTTGACACAGTAGTTAGACGAACTTTATACAAAATATGTACTTCTAGCCCAGTTCAGAAGCCAGAGAACTAGAACTAACAGATAAGTTATTATTTCCAAGTGCATCAAAATGTACATATTTAAATCATATGAGCTTACAGTTCGCATAAAACTTTTGCAAAATGATTAATAGCGAAGAGATGATGAGTGCATATTTTTGGAAAGACATGTTATAAGGTTTTTTGACTTGACTAGCAAATTAACAAGAAAATGTGTTCCTATTCGCGTTTGCAAAAATTTCTACCCACCGGTCTGTACTGAGTCACAGATTAGGTGGGTCTACATTTGAATTCTTATACCTACAAGGCAAGGCTCACCATGCCCCCTGACATTAACTACGTGAATTCAATCCCTGGAATCTTAAAGCCCTGAATCTTCATACATATTTTTCTTATCGTTCTTAAAAGAATTTTCATGTGTCAATAATAACTATATCAATTGATGTCTCATTTTCGATTTATGTGCTTTTTATTACCTGTTTCTGCCATAGACTCTATATCATGTCGCGAATTTAAAATTTCTCAAACTGAATAAATACATTTCAATTCGGTTCATAATTTACATCGAAACAACAATGTCTACTTAAGCATAGTATTATTGGTGGTAATAAACAACGCTTTGTAAAGGCATCCAATTTATAATCCTCATTCCAAAATGACATTTACTAATCTGCGACCATTTATTCATAGCAAACTTGTACATTTTCATGTTTTTGTCGTTGTGCATGATGAATTGGATCATGAAACAAGCAATAATGTTCTCATCTCAATCTGTAAACCTGTAACTAAAACATACAAACTTAAAATATGTATGTGCATAAATAGGGAGCGGGATTAAAAATAGTAAAATATGATGGATGTAGTCCGGTCCAGTTTGTTGAATGATAAACACGTACATATAAGGAATCTGGTAAATACTCCTTTTTATGTAATTCTTTGCTTGGGGTGATGTTAACATTGTATAACGATACTTGTTTATGGATATGGGGAGTGGATTAAGTGCGTACAATAGTTATAAATAAATACAAACATAAGCAAATACATATATTTATATGTATGTATTGTATATATATTTTAATATTTGTGAATTCTATAGATATATCACCTGGTTTATTTAGCATATGTCCATAATGCACCCCAGTATTTTTCTTTCTCATGCTCTTACTGGTGGACTGGTAGAGAATGCCTTACGGCATTATGTCCGCCATTTGCTGTTTTTTGCAATAAAGTATATAAAGACCAAAGTATATTTTTATTAATGGTGAATTGAAAAATTCTAGTTGTAAAAACGAAATTTCTTTACTTTTTATTAAACAATCAGTTAAGCTTTAAACTGTCAACGTCTGCCATTCATTATACGAATGTTTAAATTAAGGACAGCAATGATATAGGTACGTAATTAAGGGCTATTTTTGAAGTGAAACTTCTTTTCGGGCGGGGTGTAAATAGAAAAATCCTATGGAAAAGATGAAACGGAAATTCGTCACGAGCGTCTCATGACTATATACATACATATATATAAATATATATATCTTTGTGTGTATGTGTATTTGTGTGTGTGTATGTGTGTGTGGGATGCGTGCGCAGCTCTTCCCGAGCTTCTTTTAAAACACTTCTTACATAACGTACTTATATCGTGTCAAGGTCTATAACATAAATATATAAGCTTTTTAATTTATTGTTAAATTGACTTTAATCAGATACTACCTATCTTAAATTCATTTAGTTGCCATCTGTTGTAGCGCAAGTGCATAAAATAAACGTAATCATTACAGCAAAATAATTTGATCAACCCGTTGTTTATTTCACGAAGATACCATTAATTGGAGCATTTAATTTGCAGCTGCCGGCTAAGTAAACGATTTAAGTTGAATAGATCACTTGTTTTAATCAAGTGCAGGGCAAGAAACGGCCTTGCCTTTTGGATCCTTTGTACCTCGTAATAGTACCTAGAGAAGAACCGTAAGGGAACAATTTATTTTGATTTTAAAATCTTTGACGGATATTTACGGTTATATTTTTTTAAGTGCAGAATGAAGTACCTACTTCAGAGGCGAGATTCAATTAATATTTTAATAAGACTTCTGTAGAAAAGTTTAAGAGCATTTCAGTTTAAGACCAGCATACTATTGATGATCTGATCATTAGCCTATTAATGTCCCCACTGGTGGGGCACGAGACTACCCTATGTATGGAATAGGGAGGTTGGGTCATCACCCATCACGCGGGCCGGACGGGACCAACGGCTTGACGTGCCTTCAGAAGCATGGAAATATTTGTTATGGAAGGATGTTTTCCATTTACGTGACTTGTGACTTATTAAATTATTACCTGCACCATACTTATGTTATGAAACAACGATTTCAGTAAGATTCTGAGCTACAAAATACGTCAAAACGAAAGAAGATTTACCTCGAACTTTTCCTAAATCTAAAAGAAATAAAAAAAATATTAATAATACTTATTTACCTACTTCGAAAATTCAACTTAGTCCAAGTTTCAGGCTGGAGTCCAATGAGCATCCATTAATTTATCTACAGTGAAATTGGGGTTATAGATATCTTCGATATTCAGAACGAACTTTTATTTTTTATTACTTTGTTAAGGATTGTAATACTAATGTATAGACAGTACGCCAGCATTGCTCAAGGGAATGTCTTGTCATCTTCGTCAATGGATAATTGCGAGTCAGACTTGCCCAACGAGATTTCATTACAAATTTGTAGGTACGCAACATCTTTTTTACGTTAACTTAGTGTGTGATATTTTTACAGCTTCAAGGGAACGTAGATTTGAATATATGGTTTAAATTTTTAAGTCCCATACCTCCAGGCGTTCCCTGGGTCTTGACAAACAGACAGATAGACAAAGTGTTCTTTTAAGGGTTCAGTTTTTTTTCCTTTTGGAACGGAACGGCAGGAACCCTGAAAATTACTGATTGATTGCAAAAAGATAAGTAATAAAATTCATTGCGCATAAAAGCTTAGTCACTCCCAATCAATTTAAATTACGGCAGAACTTTTGTTTGTTTTTATGAACATCTGACAAAAATACTTCGATTATAAAATGACGTGAGAAATAACAGTTGACATTTAACATGTTAATTTATTCTGCAATTACAACGCCAATAAGCCATAAAGGCTTCGTAAGTAGATATGTATTATATACCTAGGTTCTGAAGTACGCTAACAGAATATATATTTAGGTAGTTACTTATTTTTTTTTATGTAAAAGGGGCGGCAAACAAGCGTCTGTTTTGGTTTTAAGCGGGCACCACAGCCTAAAGACGCTGGCGATGCCAAAAATATCACTCGCACCGTTGCCTACCCTATCCCAATCCTCTACCCCGTGAAGCCCTGCAACTTTACTCTCCGACAGAAATACAACTCCACCAAAAGGGTGGATGGAGGTTAAATCCGCCATGCACAACCTCTCTTAAATCTCATATTTATTTACAACGTTTGCGGCACTGTAATAAAAATATCACGCCCTCCATAACATTTACCATACCAACGATGATCTGTTTAAAAATGACCAGTCGTACTTCATTAAATGCGAAAACCGAATGAAGATAATTCCTCGAAATGCTATCCGACAATGCCTCGTAATTAGTCATTCCACTTACAAACTATTAAACTCTTTAAATTAATTGTGATTATCAGAGATAAAGCATTCCGATACACTTATGGACGCAAGATGCCAATAATTTATAGACTTGAAAGAATCTTTACTTAATTCTTTTTTCTTCGTATTAAATGTGATATGCGGTTATTACGAATGTTTAAAGGTTAATTTGGTTCTTAAACACAGGTGGTTTATTTAACAACATGACTTGTTTTTTTTATTAGCTTTTACTATAAGTTCTCCTGCAGATATGTAAGATTGCCAGAGGGCATTTAAGTAAGTATAGGTCTCTGAAACTCAACATAAGATATTTTGTGAATTGTTTTCTTGTCGGTTACTACTCTATATCATTGAAAACTATGTTAGAATAATATTTTACGATAAGTTATTATTTAAACTCACTGGATTAAATTATGTTCAAATAAATTGTGTTCCGATTCCTAAAAAGATAAAAATAAAGAAAACACTCAAAGCTCGATTAATTTATTTTTTGGAACCACTTTATATCTGGAACAATGTCTTCTATCGTGTTATGCATATTTTAACATACAATTATCACGATATGTTTATCATTCTTACCAGAAATATACTTTTTAGCTAGCATTTCACTTAATAAACTTCAAATCATAATTAAGATATTATCGAAATCATGATAATTTAAGTGGATAACTTAACGATGTAAAACGGATGTCTTCCATCGTTTAGTCTTTAGAAGATTTTTAATCTTACACTAGTAAATAAACACAAAAATATACTCCCAAGTGCGTCAATAACTGAGAGCTCTTGGAAGTGTGAAAGATAATTAACTAAAATTGCAGTCCACACCTGATATTTATAAAAAGCTACTGGTGTAGCAGGCTCATTTAAAATTGTGTTGATGTGTCATAGGTATATTTTTACCCCAATCCCCATTTATTTACACCTGATTTTATATTTGCGAGATTTTGCTCATATTCAGAAGTGTCAAGTCAACAAGTGGTTAATAAGTACCTATATCACTTATATTTCGAAAAAAATATTATGTTTAGTATATTGAGGTTCCAATTTAGATTTAAGAGTGAAGCATTATATTAACTATCACTTTTACCTATAATAGAATTTTGAGTGTTTTAATCTTTAACTTAAAATGAGTGACAGGTTTGCAAATACCTGTATCACGTTAAATTGTCTTCTTACTTAAATATTTGCTGTTCAAAATTAACCAATTTCCATTTCCTTCTTTTCAGATATCAACGATGGAGTACTCCAACATGATGTTTTGTGGTCTGATCATCCTATATCTTGCTATCCAGACTAACAGCGCACCAAGTTCGAGGAGATCAAGAGCTGCTGACCTACCCGAGGAAACAAGCAGTCGCGAAAGCAAGCTACAAGAAAAGTTCAAAGAAGTCAGTACTACGGCTGCACCAGCACCAACTAACAGGCAGAATAAAGCCCTCAACCTATTCGGATACTACCCATCTTTCCTGTCCTCGGGATTAGACTACAATGAGGACGATGATGATGACGTCACGTTTTCCGTCAACGACGACCATTTCGACGACGAAGAGCTTTCTCGGACCATTCCCAATAGAAGACGACAGCAAAACAAAAAGAAAAATGGCAACTCGGAATACTCAAACGATAATATCAACTCTATACAATATGATAACTCGCCCATCTTTTACATCAGACTGCCGCCTACACCGTACATGTTCGTCCCTGGCTTAGGATACGTATCGCAGCCCCCTACTTTGGGCCCACCTATGGGACCGATGATGTCACCTGTGGGTCCTCCTCAAGGCGCAGATCCTTTTATCAATTTGCCCCTGGACTTTGTCTCAAACGGTAAACCTACAGGTGTTTATCAATGGAACGGCGGAGCGGGATACCCTCAAATTCCTCCTGTTGATCCGTTTGGGTATGGAGCGCCTCAGCCGATGATTCCTCCGCCCTCTCGACCCAGCTACAACATGCCGCCTTACTCGAAACCTAAACCTAAGCCAGTGCCTTCAAACTCCAAGGTTACGAACCTCAAAGGTCAATACAACTTCAACGGCAAACCGGGTGATAGCGTATACGTATTAAGGGACACTTATAACTCTATATACTCGGATGCCCTTCAGAATTTCTATCCTTAGGCTGTGATCGGTGCTATATCTAAGAACTCGACTGGCTCGTATCGAGCTAATGTATCTAGTTAAGACCAGAACAAAAGTCAAAGATCAACACGTGCTCTTGCCGCTAACATTATTAAAGTTAGATCTAAAATTGGATGTTAATTATTTGAAAGCAAAATTAGAAGCACTGAAAGTTAATTACGCGCAGGCAATAAGTTGATGATGATGTGCTCGAAGGATGGTGATGAAAGTTTTAATTAGAACTTTCTTATTTATTGGCAAGAATCAAATGTGACCAATGTGTGCTTAATTAAATATTGGGTCATTTTAAAAACGAATTAAATAGTAAGTACATAATAAACGAAGTTTTATAAACGAAATAATATAAATGAGAATAAGTAGATAAAACGATCCTAAAATCCTGAGTTAAGTATTATCAAATTTTAAGAGGTAATCTTTGTGTTTTTAAAAATAGTTGTGACCGGTTGAAATTTCTTTTTTATTGTAACATTTACATCAAATGAAAATGAGAATAAGTAGATAAAACGATTCTGTTTTAAAAGTAGGTAGCTAAGCAATTTATTTCCTCTTTGACAAGGTTTAGGCGGAGTATACTTAAGTATTGACATAATTACAGCTACCTAAATTATTCTGATCTACGTTATAATTTTGATTCAGAAATTTGTTATTATGATATTGTCATCAAGGTCATTATGTTGGTGTCACAATAATAAAAAGGTACAACTGCAAAAGAAAATTCCATAATATAAGTTAGTACACTGTACTAAATCTAAATGTACTTATTATTTAGTTAAGAAACTCAAACGCATCCATCAAAAGTGCCTAGAAATCCAGTAAATTTATGCAATAAAATATTTTCATTCAAAATTTATAAAAAAAAAAACAGTCTAAATAAGATAACAACGAACAACAACCTACATTTTAGTTTCTAGAGACTTTTGATGTATAATTGCAATTCAATTGGAAGTTTACGCCTTGATTTTGTAATTGCTTTTGGGTGATTATTATTATTATTACCTAGCTTCGCTGTTCGTATTTTCTTAAAGTAGATTTTATTATAACTTTAATTTACATCATATATTAGGAATTAGTGGACATCGTTATTTCAGTCAATGTTAGCTATAAAAGTTTCCTTTAAGTAATTTATTCTATATTTATTATGCGCAATAATTTATATATTATATACGTTTACTCACATAAAATTTAATTCATAGATCATAAGGTTTTCATAGGTAGTACAAATAAACAAATAAGACGATAAAAAAACTGAAAAATGTATCACTTGAAATATTAACAAAAAATTTTGTAATTATAGATTAAATATTTTATGAAATTATAATAACTTAATTATGTGATTAATGTAAATACATATACCTGTTAGGTATAAGCGTATTTCTTATGTTTATGCTCAATTTCAGTAGGTATCTATACTTAGAATATAAGCGTAGATTACTGAACAATGATGATCTACTAAGTGGTATGTAAAATATAAACTAATTCACAGATATAAAAAAATATTAGTAGAAGTTATTAATTGCATCTGTTAATTTAGGTACTAAACCTGTATGAATTACTTAAATTATTTCAATATTGCGTTAAGTATTAAGTCCAGGCGGAACTTTGATCCTGTTTAATTTACTATCCCCTTACCTCGAGACTTTTAAAATCTACACTTAAAGTAATTTAAAGCAATTCTGACTTGTAATATCGTGCTGAAATTAAAAAAAAACACTAACATTTTGATCTAGAGCACAAAAGATCGCAAATTGAAATTAAAATTATTAGGTAAGAATTTAAATTTTATAAATTGATTTGATTGATTGATTGATGATTAGTAGATGATAAATGATTTTACAAAAATAAAGTTGATGGAGTCTGAATAGGTCTAACAGGTTTTTACACGCAAGTGTATAAATATATTTTTTATATAAGCGTGCATAATATAATTATACACCTTAGGGTTTTTGACTTTTATAAAAAACAATACAATACATAAATAAAATATCTAGTACTTGCCTACATAATACTTGTTTATCACAAACTATTTTTGAATATTTTTATACTTATTAGTAGATTTGTTGAATCTTTGTTACAGTTAAAACTATTAACCGATCTAAAATCCTGAGTTAAGTATTATCAAATTTTAAGAGGTAATCTTTGTGTTTTTAAAAATAGTTGTGACCGGTTGAAATTTCATTTTTATTGTAACATTTACATCAAATGTATAGACGAAGTGCAATTTATTTATAATTTAGATAATAAGTAGGTGCTTATTTTGAAATTACTTACCTTTAAATCCTTTAAATGTCTAAATTATTTTTTTAAGAAATAAAAAGTACTTACTTAATTTTTTCGGTGTCGGTGTGCTTTTATTTTGTTTCCCATGACTCTATTGAAGTAGAAGGGCTACTAAACCATCAGACTAACCAGTTTCCCACATTTTTTTTAAATGATGTTATATATTGAGGTACTCAATGGCGCAGGTGGTTAGCTCGTTCGGCTGCGATCGTTGAAGTTAAGCAACTTTCGCAGCGGTCGGTCATTGGATGGTAGACCAAAAATCTTCTATCTCGAGTTCCTCCGTGCTTCGGAAGGCATGATAAGCCTTCCTGTTGGTCCCGGCTGCAGCTGCAGTAGGTAGCACCCGCCAATCCGCACTGGGCCTGCATGGTTGGGATATTAATAGGCTGATGATGATGATGTTCTATTATCTGTTAATAAAGTAAGTACCGTTCTGGCAGGCATCACGGTTTCGTCATACATAGTATACATGTACTATAATGGCAGATGTCCTACAACCACTAGAATGTTCTGGCCGTTTACATATATTTTTGAAACAATTAAAGGAATGTCCCCTTACAGCCTTGTACAATCAGGTTATGAATTACTATCCCGATGACAACTTTGTTATCGTCTTGTACATATCTGCTACCCTCTGAATACGTTGGAATTTTTTAACGCGTATTCATATATGTAAATTGCGATATATTAAAATTATAGCCTTTTGGTAGCAGATTAAAAAAAGGACTTTTTATAAGCATTTTCAAAATTTTAAGTGATGTTGACGCAACCACAAGATTCCTGCCAGAACGGTACTTTCTTTAGAGTTTGTAATTTATGTTTTTCTTATCTAAGGGGTTTTTACGAAATATTGATAGTTGAAAAAAACCTTATTATGAAAAATTACTTTAAAAACATTGCAAACATTGGAAAGATAAGGATTGTTGATAAAAACCAAGCCTGTACTAATAAACAACTTAGGCGCCTACCAAACTTTTAATACTTAACTATTCAGGTATTGTAAAATACTGGGCAAATTTAAATATTCTATACTTATTTGTTGTCGTTACAAATATTCAAATATAATTGTTTCGAAAAAAAACAGCTTCATAAAAAAAAAACAACTAAAAAAATACCAAACAACGACTAGTAGTCTCTTTTGGTAAATGATAAAATTACGGATCTTCTGCCAAATACTCTACTTCCGTTTCACCGTTTTAAGTTTTCACATCAAAAAAGCAGAAATAAAAAACATACTTATTGTAATGTTTGTAATTTAGCACAAAGTTACTTATTTTCAAAAAGTGAGGTCTTTAAGGGATTTTGGAAATTTTGTCAACCATGGGGTAAAAAAAGGCTGTGAAGGTCACAAGTATTTTTTTGGGAATTTTGAAGATTGAAACGTAACTGTTGGTTTACAAGATTATGGTTATCGATATACCTGATTATATTCTTTGATTTAGAGGTGTAGAGGCCTAGAGTCTCTGGGGCAACGAAGGAGGGGAGGCCTCGTATTTTAAAATCACTCTTGTGGGTCACAGCCCCGTCTGCCTTGCCATAAATCCGGCACTGGCTCTAGCTTTAAAAAGAGTTGCATTGTATGCACTCGGAAACAAAGACGCAGACAGAAATATTTCCAATCCTTCGCTGTACTCATTATAAAAGTATTTGAGAAGCGTTTGATGCGAAGAACAGTAACCTAGAAGGGCAAGGGGTGGTAATCTGCACAGTGCGTCTGGACGTCCGATGGAACTCAGGAACCATTTTTTTCTTCGGTTTAAAAAGTGTTTTGTCTTACCTTAACCCAGGTAATAAACTATATCCCCGTATTAATAAACGAAGTATAAGCTTAGATAAGTTAATCCATGCAAAAAGATGGGAAAAAATATAGTATGTTGTTAAAATATACTATAACCTTGGCAACCCTATTCATATGTGTGCCAAATTTCATCAAAATCCGTTCAGCGGTTTTTACGTGATGCGTTAGGACTTAGGATTATAAACATAACTAATTACACTACAAACTCATAAATAACAGACTGTAATCTGAGATTAAAAGTACACAAGTAAGATGTACCTAGGTAGTTAACATAGGTTACGGTAAGTAACATTAGTTTTACCTATACACCAGAAAGCTTGTAAATCGCTAGATTTCTTCAGAAAATCATATTACTAGATGAAGATTTATTTAGCTACTTACCTACGTTCTTATCGATACTCAAGTGGGTAACAATATTTTTTTAATAAATTGGCGCTGATAATCTGGCTGTATACACTGCACATCTCGATCAGCCTCCTGATGCCCCAAAGAAAGTACAGTAGCGCCTCAGATATTTTGCAAGCAATGCCTACTAAAGAAGACAGCAGAGCGGGGAAAAAACCCTTATTAACCCTCATTTTGTTGACCGTGTGTTCGTCAGTCTGTCGATCTGTTAAGTCAAGACCTTTATCTAGGGAACACGAGGCGGTATCGAGTTGACTTAAGTCTACGGTCCCTTGAAGCGGTAAAACAAAATCAAACTATAAAGTTAATGTAAAAAAATATTACGGCTGATGCTGAACGGCGGCGGTGTTGTTGTTGTAAAGCTGAACCCTTTGCTAAGACGCGAACTACTGCTTGGACCAACTTCAACTCTAGATTTTTGTATCGATTGCGATTTCGGGAAAACAAGCTCAAATAAACATCATATAACAGTAACGTAATATTTAACATATTACCAGTCTTTGAAATGAAATGAATTTATACTTTGTTCAAATTGACTTTTTGAAAGCTCTTTTGAATCGTCCATCGTCATCCAATCGTCGTTTTTTTCCTACCACTTTTGTGAGCTTTACTTATTATATGTATATTGTTGTATTTATAATGCCTTAAAATGTAACCACCCTATATCTATGAATGTAAGAAACAAAGTAATTATGAAAACTATGGCTGCATGGTTTTTGCTTTGCCATCTCAAGAACGAACTAAAAAAAAAACAATCTGTCAAAGTCAATGTCAAAATTGTCTACAAAATCTTCAAGTTTTCCTTCGTCTTGTCTCGTCGTGTGCGTACAAAAAATAAAAGAAAGAGAATCCCGTAATAATATTACAAAAAAACCTAAATGCTGCATTGAATATTTGACATTGTATTTATTAGTGGTTTCAGGCTACTAGTAGTTATGATTAAAACAGTGTGGTGATAAATGAGAAGTGACAAAGTGCATCGTTGATCATATTATAATAAAATGCGTTGTTTTGTATATTAGCTAAAAACGAAGAACTGAGGAATCATGTTTCGCAGTCGAAGTTGGTTTGGCGGTGCATGGGGAAGGCCCAAGAACCCTCATTCTTTAGAAAGATTGAAGTATTTACATAATATCCTCTGCAAGAATACTACTGTGTCTGAAAGTAATCGGGGCACTTTGGTGGAATCATTGAGGTGTATTGCGGAAATATTGATATGGGGAGATCAAAATGACAGCTCAGTATTTGAGTAAGTTGTGTAAAAATTATATTAAAATATCTTTTAAAATTCGTTAATTAATCCCAGCAATCATATCCTTGACATAGTTACATATTTGAAAAGGAAATAACATTTAAAAGCTGATCCGAATTTAGTTTTACCTAGTATTAAATATAGTTTTACCTAGTTAACTTAGAGCTAAGTTAACTAGGTAAAACTATATTTTTTATAATTTGCTGTTCTGTTTTCATCATTTATATCACGATCGTTTTTAGCAAGGCTTAAACTTGTGTTTGCACTATGTCAAGAATATACTTATTACATATACTAACCTTAAATTGTAAAAGTTGATTGGTTGAAATATTTTCAGAGTTGTTTAAAATGTTTTGATATTTTGTAGTTTCTTTTTGGAGAAAAACATGCTATCATACTTCTTGAAAATTATGAGACAAAAGTGTGGAGGTTCGTCTTTTGTGTGCGTGCAATTGCTCCAAACATTGAACATCCTTTTCGAAAACATAAGAAATGAAACATCACTATGTAAGTAAAAAGAAACACTATTATATAAAATAAAATAGCTGAATTAAATAACAATAGGCCACTATTGCTGATAAACCAAACTAAAACCCTCAATCATCACAAACATACAGACAGACAACCATTATCCTACTAATATTTAATTGTGAAAGTTTGTGTTTTCAACTCAATCATGCAAAAATTACTGAACAAATTTGGACTAAATTTGGTATGCATACAGTATATGATATGGAATGAGACATAAGATACTTTTTATCCCAGAAAAATGACAGGTTCTTGTGGGATTCTGAAATAGCTAAAGTTAACATGGAGGAAGTTGCGGGTGGCCGCTGGTACTTACCATAACTATTTTTATATGTGCCTATTTTTGGGTGTGAATTTCTTTTTGAACATTCATTAATCAATGATGTGCAGGATTGCTTATTTGTGTTTTATATGTGCTCTAAACTTTTATTTATTTTCAGATTATTTATTGAGTAACAATCATGTTAACTCAATAATAGTCCACAAATTTGATTTTTCTGATGAAGAAGTGATGGCATATTACATATCCTTCTTGAAAACTCTGAGCTTAAAATTGAATAACCACACTATACACTTCTTTTATAATGAGGTAAGGATCTGTAGTTAAATTCAAAATCACGATTGAGTATAGTTTAATTATTATATTTAGTTAAAATTAATAAAAATCACTTTTAACTTCTATTTGAAGCTCCAAGCAAGAACTGACATAATTATTATCAAAATATTATTGGTAGTAGTAACACTTAAAATTCATTACATTACCTACTGGCTACAGAAACATTATGTTTATTGATATTTACTTATTGACAACCATGGTTGAGTGGTTTGTATGCCACATATGTCGCTGACTCGAGAGGTCCCGGGTTCGAGTCGCGGTAGGGACAGACGTTTGTGTGATGAATACGAGCTTTTGGTCTCCGGTCATGGATGTTTAATATGTTTTTCTTTATATATATACTTATATATGTACTGTATATGTATTCTATCCGTTACCTTAGTATCCCATAACACAAGCCTTACAGTGATTACTTTGGGACTAGGCTAATTGGTGTGAGTGTTGGAAATATTTATTTATTTATTTATTAATGAAGTTCTTAAAACAATGTCTTGATTTTTATGTCATTTACTAATTTATATTTTGCAAGATATAAAGTAAATTAAACAATGTTTTATGATTAATACAGTATATGTGCTAATTTCATTAATAAAATATTATTTTCAGCACACCAAAGATTTTCCTCTTTACACTGAAGCAATTAAATTCTTCAACCACAGTGAATCCATGGTTCGTATTGCAGTTCGGACTCTCACATTGAATGTTTACAGAGTTCAAGATGCAAGCATGTTAAGATTTATCAGAGACAGGTAAAGTATCAATTAACTGTTAACGTTATGTTTTTTTTTAAGCATTTAACTGCTAGATGTTTAAATCTAAAGAACTGCTTAAAAAAATAAAAACATAACTATAATTGCTATTTCTTCTTTCAAATGTTTAATACTTGAAAAAGTATTCATTTGACATTGTGGATTACCTACAATGCGAAGAGATGGCGCTGCCTTGCAGCTTAAGGCTAGGAAAATTTCGACGCGGCGAAAAGGGCCGTGGTAGCATAATGGTCAGTGCATTCACCCGGATAGCGAAGGGTGCGGGTTCGAGTCCCGTCCGCTGCCTGGTCCGCGTGGATGTTTTTTTCTAGTAAACTTTTCTTTAGATTTAAACTATTAACGTTTTTAATTAAAGTAAGAAAAGTTAAAATCAAGTATAATTAGCGTTTTCAATTTATTTGAGATTGCCATATCATCAGTTGCTGCAATCTTATAAAATATAGATATATCCATACTTATATGACCTCTAGAAATTATGATAAGCAGTTGTACTACTTTGTGAACCCATTCCTGATGATTCTGATTGCGGATTAGTGGCTGCTAATGATTACAGATGCAGCCGGGACCAACGGCTTAACGTGCCTTCTGAAGCACAGAGGAACTGGAGATAATCAATTTTTGGTCACCTATCCAATGACCGACCACTGCGAAAGTTGCTTAACTTCAACTATCACAGTCGAATGCGTTAACCACTTCGCCATTGAGCTCCTCATTACAGTACGCACAAGTAAAATAATTTTATTAAAATACTGTTTCTATGTATACAGTAACTGTATTGTTATTATTTTTCTTCATATTTGTTATAGAGTGTACTTTTCTTTTTATTTCTTCCATACGCGTGTCTCTAATAATAATATTGGTTCAGATTGTATCGAGCACTAATGACGTCATGTTAACAGCAGATGTTACTAGCTGAATCATGCATTTATAAAATGTTGTTTAAAAAAGCGTCCATCTGAGTCCGTCTGAGCACAAAGATCTGCCGCAAAGTTGAGTAACTGAAAATGTAGTTTAAAGCAATTTTTGTTTATCTAATAAAATCTATTCCTGTGTAAATTGAGATTTGTAAGCTTTGTAGTATTGTATTCGGAACAGAAATTAAAATAACGAGTAACTAAGGCTGCACTAACAGGCTCCTATCAACTTTAGTTGGCAACTCGAGCAGTGAAGGTGAACGTAAGTGTTAAAGGATGCCTCTTTAAACGTACACCTGGGTTGCAAGTCTCCGGAACTGCTCAGAGTTTCTCTCTCTCCGACACGATGGACCGGGCACCCGTACGGTGAATCCATAGATTGCTAAGAAGTTCGTCTCATTGTTATAGCTTCGATCATCAATATCACTAGATAACCAATCGGAATCAGAAAATAAGGCCGCCCTTCAAATGGAGGTCTTGATATATTTTAAAGATCACCTGCGATTGCACTAACATGGTAACATGTCACGGTGTCATAACTGTCGAAAAAATATATATATATATATATATTTTTCGACCAGATGGAATCTCATGGTTTTGACCAGTAGCGCTGTCCTATACTTTAAATATCCAACTTAATAAAACAGCCTTTTTCAAAATTTGAATCCAACCCACGAATCGAAAGTCCATGATTTTCTCATAAAGAGATATCTAAGATATTTAAACGAAGTTTCTGTTCTGTAGGACTGCTGCACCATACTTCAGCAATTTAGTTTGGTTTATCGGCAAACACATATTGGAATTGGATGCATGCGTCAGAAATGACGCTGAGTAAGTATAAGTATTTTTAGTGTTAAAGGTTTATGGAGTAACCAAAGTCATCATGATACCTAATCTTGATTTTCTCCTTACAGTCACCAATCTCAACAAAAACTAGATGATTTAGTAGCAGAACACTTAGACCATTTACATTACATAAATGATATCCTTTGCTTGAATATACCGGATCTAAATGACGTATTGACGGAGCATCTATTGCATAAACTACTTGTTCCCCTTTATATTTACTCCTTGACATCGGAATCGACGAGACGATTACCAACCTCATCCCCATACAACAGAGACCACATACAGAGCATTGAAGCCATCACAAGGAACTTAGAAGCCATTTTAAAAGGAAAAAAAACCGACCACTCGCCTACTAGAATGACTTTCACCAGACACAGGGTTGAAATAGACGATGAGTCAAAACCGTCAGTATCATGTGTAGTCTCCTTATTTCTGTTGTCACAAGTTTTCCTTATAATAACCCATGGACCAATCGTGCATGCGTTAGCATGGATTATATTACAATCAGATTTATCAGTGTTTGAAGATGGTGCCACGAAGATACTCGAAATGTATATAAGCAATGCTAAATCGAATTTCAAATTGGAATTCTCGAAGCCCCAAATGAGCTTAGAAAAAGCATTAGAAAATAACTCTGGTCACGAAAGAGATTACACTACCCCAGAATACGGCGGTCCAAAGCCTTTTGGGTATGAGGATAAGGATACGGACCAATCTAGCTGTGATCTCGATCCCGAATTAGTGTCGACCTCTTTGCCGTCCACGTCGCATATTAGCGAGACCTCCAGTATAGCGCATGACTCCACCGAAGACTTAGTGACGCAGATACAGTCGATAAAATCAAACGCCACTGTAAAAGAAAACATGCCTGATTCTCCGTTACCCGATTCTGGTATAGACTCGAGTTCGTCCAAAACTGTTCCAGAATTAAACAATATAACGGATGAAGAGAAACAGAAGCTTCTTGGAGTGACGTCCACTGCGGTATCGGAAAGATCTATGACGTTAGAGACAATATTGGAGAGAGAGAATAGAGAAATAGAAAAAAGGCCTTTCCTGAAAACTATTTTAGACTCATTGGATTGCAGCGAAAACGATTACAAAGCGCTGTTTGCCTTATGTTTACTTTTTGCGCTAATAAATAACAAAGGTAAGGATATAATCGTCGTATGAACTGAACATTTCTAAACATCAGTAAGACTATGTGAATGATCTTGTGTGAGAGTGGATATTTTTTTCGAAACTCATTTAAGATAGTAGAATTTAGATACTTACTTAATATTAAAAACAAATCTTAGATTAGTGTAGACAGCTACCTATTTTATTGAATGGTACTAATTACACTATTTCTGTTCCTATTCTGCTTGCTTTGGCTGTTAGTGGGTAAGATATGATATTGCATTTCATGTTAAAAATATAAACTATATATTTCGCTAATATTTATATTGCAAGTTGCTTTTGTTGTAGGTGTGAACACGGAATTGTTGGACACTTTATTATGCCCAGAGATAGAAGGAAATTCAAACGAATCGAACAGGCCCGGAAGTAGCCAAACAGAGGCTACTGAATTAAGAAGCGAACAAAATACGCCGACCCCATCGCATTCAAGGCAACAAATGCAGAGTTTCAACACACTACTCATTTCGAAACTGATGGCCATCGCAAACTTGAGTTGTAAACCAGGTGAGTCATACATAAATACTACAGCTACTATAAATGCATGAAACCCTACAAACATATATACCACACTACAATGTACTATTTTTCACGTCTTAAGTCTTAAGAGCGGACGCGAGCTGAGAGACATTTGAGATATAGATATTTGAGAAAACTATTGCTGTCAGGCATTGGCAAATACCGTGTGATAGGGACAACAGGAGTTGAAGCTTAAAATTGCGTATAAAAATTGCATAATTCGAGGTTAAGTTTTCGACGATTTCCTCATCGAAAATTAGATAAATGCAAAAAATTTTTTACACAAAGAATAAAAAATAGTTTTACTATGTCTTGGTTTATTGTAAATGCTTATTAAATCTCCACACGAGACATCTTTAGTGGTGATAAAAAATTATTTATCTTTGGCCTTTTTCGAGGGCTTCTAGTTTCTTTGAAACACAAGTTATCTAAAAAAGAAAGACATGGGAATAGAATGAGTAAAATTATATTATATGTATGAAAATCAATTTTTATTGATAGAAATCACGAAGGAATTAGTCGAGAACGTTTGTATGGATAAAAACATTGCCCGCCTTCCCTCTTAGGCAAGAACCTAGAATCTACTGATAATAAACTACTAAGAAACAATTATAAAGATACTTTTAATAAGATTATTTCGACAGCAAAACAAAGATAATGCGCCATAATCAAAGAAAATTGGGTTTAATTTATCAAAATTATAAACGTCCCATCATAAAATCGAATGTTATTATCAATGTTCTTGATTATAAATTACATGACACCTGCATTGATATTTTTGGTAATATTAATATTACATTTTTCTCGTGCAATTGAATTTAACTACTCCATTCAATAGGTAAGAGAGTCGTAAAAGACATGGAAGTAGAAAACAGAACCTATCTAATATAATACCCCCTTTTCATGGGACGCACTTTTTCATCAACGATGTTATGCGCTCCACTAACTTGGTTCCGCTAAACAGCGTATAGACCAAAATATTTTATTAAAACTTATTTCATTACACTTAGTATTACTACGTATTTGTTTAGTAATATAAAAGATATTTTTGCTAACAAATCGGTCAGGTACAAATTGTTTTAAGGCAAACATTTTTACGAAATTTCTACTTGCAACGATTCTGACATACCTCTTTCGCCTTAACATTTATCGACATATGCCAGTTTTTGTTTGATTTTAAATTCTACAATCATCACTTTAAAAAACAACGCTATATTACAATTTTCCCTCGTTAATTTTTTTTTCTTTTTCAGCGTCCAGAGTCCGCCTAGTGACATTAGAGTTGAGCGTTACTTTAGTCCGTATCGCGATGCAAGGTGCCAGCGGAGTCGCCGGCGCCCGCCACATTGCGTCCACGGAAGCGCTACGAAGCCGCGCGGCTGCACTCGCAAGAAACTTCTACAAATGCGATGACATCTTTCTGGATATGTTCGAAGATGAGTAAGTATTGATGTAAGACAGTAAGGTATAAACACTCGAATCGTGAAACGCATTGCGAAATGTCCACCACCCATCTGCAACGTGCAGAGGCTGAGCCAAGTACCTAGTTTATATTCAAACAAGGCGTAGCAGATTTTCCTCACCCCACCTGATATTAAGTGTAAGTAGAAGTCTACTAAAGAAATATGACTATATTGGGATCAAATATATCAATAGTTATTCTAAGCTTGCAAACCCTTGGACACATTGTATTTTTTTTTGTATGTTACAAAAAGTGTTAACTTTTTTTTCTTTTGTGATGCTAATTCTGTTAAGGTCGTTGGCGTGGTTAACTTTCCTAATGGGCGATCATAGGATAGGTGACCTAAAATTTATTATCACCAGCTCCTTCCGTGCTTCTGAAGTGCACATTAAGTCGTTGTTCTCGGCTGCATTTGCAGTCATCAGCATGGCCAAATATTGCTATTCCATCCATAGGAAAGGCACAGGCATTCCCTATGGATACGGTATGAGTGGTCCCCGAGCAGTGGAGACATTAGTAGGCTAATGATGAACATGACACATAATTATTCTTTAATTATTAGAATTAATTAGTTTTTTTCCTCTTTTGCGAATCATTTATTTGCAGTCATCTCTCTTTCCCTTTAGTAATTGACTTTGTAATCCTGTAGGTGATTACATCCAACTTGATGTTTGTTTGGAATTTAATAATATCGTCAAGTGATTAATAACTTAGCACCTACCGTTAGTTTACATTACAAAGGTAACTGTGCCAATTGTTCCGATTTTGGAGTGAGTCATTTGAATAAAAACAAACTTATCTACATTCAACCGAAAAAAATATGTATTAATAGGTCACCGTTCTTGACTATTCCTTATGTGACACAGTTTACGCGGCGTGTTTTTCTATAATAAAGGCCGCACTCAGAGACTTCAGTTGAATTGAATTATCCAAGACGTGTTGTCTTAGACTACGTTCAGACGACGACTATACGATACTATTTTATCACGTTTACGATATATAAGACGTTTGTTCACACGACGATCATTTCCATCCGATTTAACGTTATGTTACACAGACTTTGTAAAATGCGCGCCAACATGAATCGACGTATTCTTCTTCTTCGTGTGAACGATGCAACATAAACATAGGCACCACTGCATGATGCATTCGATAAAATCGCTTCGCGACGAGGTGTTTTCGGTGATCACTACTGACGGTAAACGGGAGCGAATATGTCTCGAAAACGGGATTTTTCAGCATTAACTCCGTGTGAACAATTATAGGTTTTTATATTGCCACTACTACATTCGATAAAATGTCGTATACGGTAAACGGGAAATATAATGTCTTGTGAACGTGGTCTTATTCTATCACTCTCGTAAATAAAATTACTAAAACATTGTCCTTGACCAGGCCAGGGTATTAGCATCGTCATGAAGATTTTCTCATAGTCACAAAAAAAATTGAAAGAAAGAAGAAGCAACAAATTTAATGTAACTTTAAAGTTAATCGATGTCTCTTATGTGATGTGGGTGCCCACATCCATCGTTTAATTTAGGTTTATTTTCAACTAGTGCCCCACACTCGCTTCGCTTCGGTGTGGACTATAAATAAATATTGTGTTGTTTTTGTTCTAATATATAGCCTGTGACACTCACAAATAACGTTCCTTTCTATTGGTATAATATTAAAAAATATTTAAGTAGATCCAGAGATTACCTTTTACAATCTCACATCACAAACAATGATTAATAATCTTCTTATAAATAAAATTCTCGTGTCACAATGTTAGTTGCCATACTCCTCCGAAACGGCATGACCGATATTAATGAAATTTTAAATGCATATTCAGTAGTTCTGAGAATCGGCTACTATCTATTTTTCATACCCCTAAGTAATAAGGGTTGTCTATCCCTAACAATTTTTTTTGATAAAATATATCATTAATTTTTTTATGGTTCGTCATTAAAAAATACATACAACCCTAAATTTTCACCACATTCTACTACCAGCCCCTATTTTATGGCGGTACGAAGGTACAGAAGGTATAGTGTAAGTATAAAGACAGCATAAAATTTTATAATCCACTAGTTTTTCTACGGTCCCGCCCTATCACTTCTATAAATTCCTTCCCCAGGAATTAAGATATAAAAAAAAAACAGCTTAAATGAGTAGATTTGCCTCAATACGTGTACCAATTTTTATTTAACTGAAAACCCTTTGTTATTAGTTAAATTTCAAAAAAGGCCATAGGAATTTATTTCGACTACTTTGACTTGAAATCAAGGAAATCTGTTTTCAGATATAATATTGTCTTTGCATGATCATACGCTTCATAAAAGGTATAGAAAATAGCAGTGTATTTGTGGCACCCCTGGTGTTGCAGATGGGCGAAGGAGTTCTCTGAGTGTCACCATTATGAGCTGTCTGCTAGTATGCCCCTATAATATAAAAAATACCATATTTTTCCCCGAGGTATTGCGAGATGAGCAAACGCCCCTTGAACGTGGAGTGGCTGTGTATGGATGCGGCGATACTGTTGCCGCCTACGCGAACCCCAATGTCTGGCATCGCCTTTGCGAAACGATTGCCCAGTGGAGAGGTATAAATAATGCACTATATTATATGAACTGAGTCTCTAATAAGCCTATCTCTTACTGGTGTTTGATTAATAAAACTGACTGTTAGTGATGAAATCAAAGCGACTTATACTCTTGATAAATTAATTGTAATAGATATCATCGTTTTTCTATAAAACAACTTATCATTATTTAATTATCGACAGTTTTTTTTTTACCTGAAATTACAGTACTATTCTTTACCCTTCAAATTAATAAGGCTTCTTAACATAATCACACTTTTCTGTTAAAAAAAAACAGTTGACCAATACCAAACATTTTTTATATTTTAACAAATCTTGTTGTCAGATGGAGAGAGCAAGGCGAGCTATAAGAACATTTTTCCTCATACGTGATTTGTACCTAAAGTTAACTGGCAAACAAGAAACTCAGTTACCGCTGACCAATCCAGTGCCCTTTGTGCAAGTTGGAGATGTTTTGGACCTAAGTAAGTTTAGTTTACGAATAATAAATCAAATCAAATACAACTTATACTCTGTTTAAGCAAAACTAGCAGTGAAGTGCTTTCCTTATCACATAGTGCTTTCAAAATTCAAGGGTGAAAAGAATCCGGCCAATGGTAGGAAAGTTTAGCTTTAGTCGGTACTACTAGTTCCTTGTATAGAGTATAATTGCAAACATAACCTTGAGAATTTTTGTCTTCTTAAAAAAATCAGTGCCCGTGACTTCTTTTGCTTAGACAAATTTTCCATACAAAATCGCACTTCCTAGTTTTATTTTCGCGTAAAATTGTAGCTTTCGTCCTTCTCCTACATCCCTTGTATACCCTATCAAAATGTTACAATATCAGTGAAATGTATTTATTCATTTATGATTGCGACAGTCGAGTAGTTTATATTCCACAATAAAATGAAATGGCAATAAACAGGTGTTGAATTTTCGTCTATTCCAATTGATTTTTCGTTGATAAGAACTATTTATTTGAGAAGTACGCGTATAGTAAATAATCGTTTCGACTTTCAGATGATTCTGATCTCATATCGTGCGACATAATCCAAAAGGACGGCACTTGGCACCATCGCTTCTTGGCAGTCGATAACATACAGATAATCCTAGTGGAGCCCGACAAACAGAGGCTTGGATGGGGAGTGGCGAAGCTAGTTGGCAGCTTACAAGACTTGGAGGTATGGAGTATTTTCGTGTATGTTTTAAGTAAGATATTGTTGAACGGCATAGGGTATTTAACCAGTATTAGAAAACTATCTCATGTTGTTTACTATTGTTTATGCAGTCCATAAAAGTGGGTATTCATCATTCTGTTCTGTGTATTTCAGTAAAATAAAACTAAATCAAAAACTCCAAGTAGCCGCGAAAACGTTGCTCTGGACAATATGGTGTCTCACTGGTATGTGACGTCACACGACTTTCATTAAAACGTCAAACGATACAATGTAATGACACTAACCGGAAGGTTACGAGCGTGTGACGTCATTTTAGTCCTCGCCAATCGCAGGCGTTTTCGGTCACGTTATCATAGAAGAACAAAAAAATCATTTCTATTTAATGATTTTTTTTTAGAAAAGTTATTAATTAATAGTTTTCTTGAATAGTAGAATCGCTGCTTATATTCATATTAAGTACAGATGCCAACAGTTGATACTTAATTTTTCATACTGTCAAATAGCCTATTGGCACTTTATTTTGAATACTGTCAAATACTCTATTCTTATTTTTTAACGAAATAGTATTTTTATTTTTTTTAATTCTTTCAAAATGGACGCTGGTATCGTTTGTGTAAATGGGAGGATCAAAAATGTTGATCTTGTATTTATACTTACCTATTCAAAATGTTTAAAAGAAAACCTTTTTGAAATCTCATATTTACAATCTATTGCCGACAAAATTCAAAGATTACTATGGTTTAAACTAATTTGTTTTTCATAAAAGATGTCCCCAATGGGTATGTCGTTCTTTCTTTGACTTTTCTGCCCGTTGGTGACATGAATCTTTGAATAGTAATTTACATAGAAGGAACGCTAAAATAGCAAAAATAATCATTCGGTCCGTCGTACTTTGAACAATAAGCCCGATAATGTGTGGGGAATAGATGGATATTGCACTTTTCTTTCGTTGCTTCTGGACAACATGTTTTGGCGCTTAAAATAAAATTGAAATAGTAAACAAAGAATTAGTGAGCTTCATACGTATGCTCACTAATTCAATGTTAAAACAGTAAACATTTGAAACAAACAATTTTTTCTTTAAAATATTAATCAAAAAGTAGGTACTACCAAATCTTAGACAATTTTGAAAAAAAAGCAGAATAAAGTGTGATCTACTTTATCTTACACGTGTTTAACTGCGCTCTAATAAGAACAGCACCGACCTAGCCAAACAGTTTTCTTTGTAGCATTCTCTCTATGTAAATTACTAGCCTATGCACGATATCGCTTTCTCCTAAAGAGTAATCAATTATATGCCGAATTGCTCCGTCTATTCTACAGGTCCATTCTCTATGTGTATGGGATTTAAATATGCCTATGGGTCGAGATAAGGAGCTCGATGGCGCAGGTGGTTTGCGTGTTCGACTGCGATCGTTGAAATTAAGCAACTTTCGCAGTGGTCGGTCATTGGATGGGTGACCAAAAATCTTCTATCTCGAGTTCCTCCGTGCTTCGGAAAGCACGTTAAGCCGTTGGTCCCGGCTGCATCTGCAGTCGTTAGCACCCGCCAATCCGCACTGGGCCCGCGTGGTGGTCATGGCCCAATCTCCCTATTCCATCCATAGGGAAGGTCTGTGCCCCAGCAATGGGGACATTAATAGGCTGATGATAATGATGGGTCGATACGTGCTTCCTTCATTAACAGATACAAGGTGACAAAGAGGATCCTCGGTGCCTCCACCTCACTATTCACAAGCCCCGTGTGGGTGCAAGTGGAGCGTTACCAAGGACAGTTCTACTAAGGGCCAAGTTCAAATTCGACGATCATATACGCAGTATGGCGGCTAAACAAAGACTCACCAAGGTGAGAATGTGTATTTTACCTAGAGACTCAACAAGGTTGGGAATGTATATTTTATGCTACCTATAAAGTTATTATTACTTAAATTTATTTTTGTTTTATGTTAATATGTAGGTGGCAAACAAACATATTGGCCTGTCAGACGGTAAGCGGTCATCATAACTTATAGACGCTTGCAATATCAAATTATTAAGCAATATGAAATATGGGGCATATTTCATATTTCCGTAACCGGTTTGCATGGGAAAAATACGTTTTAAAAGAGTTGTATGCAACCAATTTGGAATAAAAATATTTTGACTTTACTTATCACTCGCGTTTTTTCTACCTTGTCCTCCATCTTTTTGTGACGCAATGCTAAACAATATATTATCACAATGCCCTTTTACTACAATAATTGCACATTAAAAGCAAAAAAACTTCTTGATGACCTAATTTTTTCCTTATAGAAACGAGTTTAATTAAAATCAAATAAAGTTTGTAGTGAGATTAAATATTTACATCTTAATCTATTTGGTTTAAAACACACACAGAGCATACACTTCCATAGACAATAGATTATCGAAAAGATTGTGCAAAGTAAAGTATTACCCAACCAAAAAGTGTTAGTGACGTGTTGGCAGGGTGAATTTGGTATTAGATCGCTTTTTGATTCGGTATCGTAAAGGTAACCAAGGTATTCACAAGTCCTACAAAGGTATCTTATTTGACGTTTGTATAATGGTAGGCATGGTGTTCATAGTATGGATCATAGCAACATATATTTGTCCTTTTTTGGTCTATAGGTAAAAATAAGACAACTATATGAATCGGCTTTATGGGTTGAATTCAAACTCTTTCTATGCTCTAGTTCTTGTTCTGAGATTTACATATTTATATCTACAGACAGCCACACATAAAGTTGTCACAAACTGTTAAAAGCTCTCACGCAAAAACCTAATATATATAACCCTAATAAACCCCGATAAATTTTTGTTCTTTTATATAACAAATTTCATAGTCACTTGTGTTTTTTTATTATTTTAATGTAACTTGACCTCAGTCTATCTATTATATCCGAGCCAATATTATTTTAATTAATCTTAACTCTGTTTTTTTCTCAATTTGAAATAAAATTATTCATACTTACCGTTTATCTTTTCATTGAAATTTCAATTTGTTTCTTATCTATAGGCAAATTGATTTTCATGATTTCCTTCAATAGGGTCGCACAAAATCGCGGCAGAAGAAAATGCAGCAGATCGGGCGTCTTCTAGAAGTTTCTGGGGTTTCTGCGCCGGCTCTCGCGCCTCGACACCGCCCACTGTTCTCTCGCCCGGGACTGACTGCTATCAGAAGGTCTACGGGTAATTATTGTTGAATATTTATAACTAGCGCGTGGAGATAGTTAGAAATAAAGGTTCACTGCTTGTTTTCCATAGGTGATAACGTGATAATATGTAGCCTATATGTTGACCCGACTTCTTAATGAGATTCTTGCCAAATTTGAAGTGAATCCATGCAGTACTTTTTCAGTTTATCCTGGACATACATACAGATAAACAGACAAACATTCTAAAAAGTATATTTTTGGCTTCGGTATCGAATGTAGATCACACCCCAAGTATTCTTTGAAAAAATATTCAATGTACAGTTTTGACTTTCCTACCATTTTATTAATTGTATAGATTAGCAAGGTGAACTATGCAGAGTTAATTTTTTTTTACCAGTATTAAAATTTTGTGAATACCTGAATAATAGGGATGATGACTATGATGAAAAATATTGGACACGTATTTTCTCTTTTATCACACAATCAAAACATTACAGAGATACAGTGCAACCTTAATATAACGTACCTCAATGTAACGACTTCCTTGATTTAACAAATTCTTCATAATCCCCTTGAATTTTCCATAAGAGTCAATGTTAAATATACCTTTACATTGCGAACATTTTTTGCGCACAATCTCTTTATAACATATTTTCAACTACCCAAAAAAGAGTAAATACCTCTGATTAACGAATTTTGTCAACCAAGAACCTTTATATAACGTTTCTATCAATATATCGCCCTTAATCCCATATTACGTGATCATGTCACGCCAGGAAACTATTTTTTTACCTCTTTATAACAAATTTTAGACCAACCTAACCTCAATATAACAAACCTTAGTTTAAAGAATTACTCGAAATAACGAATATTTACATGTTCCCTTCCGGTTTGTTACATCGAGGTTGCACTGTATATTGATTTGAAATGGAGCATGACTTCAAGTCTTGATACAATTTTTACTTAGAAGTGACGTCATGATTGTCACGAGCCCCCACTCCCAAACTATGACGTGCTTCTTCTTTGTAATTTTTTTGTTGACTGACAAAAAAAAATGGTGTCCATTATTTTTTGGTTATCTAACTGACAGACTTAATAGAATTTCGGTTAATTTACCCCCTCATCACCCCTATTGTGTATATAACCTCGTGATGGTGACTTTAGATGTTTGTTCTTTGTAGAAAAACAAGTCAATGATTTTAAGTTTTTAACCAGATATTTCAATATCCAATTATTATCATTAATAAATTAACTCTTAATTTACACATTAAATTAAACGTTTACATAGAACCAAAATCTTTCATACGTATTTTTTTCCAGGTACCGACGGCGATGAAAGCGATCGTCGCTTGCGCAGACCAAGCGCGCACATGCTCAAAGACGGCATAGTCGTTTATAGAGAGCGGACTACTAGCCGGGAGAGGTTAGTCAACGGGTTGCTCAATTTGTGAGATTTCTTTTATTATCACTTCTAAACATCATTTAACATGGTGTTGGAAGTACTTGTGTATGTGTGTGTCGTTTGTGGTTGAATATGTTTCGTTATCATTATAATTTTATCGCAATTTCTATCGCTCGTGCTAAAATATAATTAAAGTCGTATATACAGAGCTGACGACTAACCGGGAGAGGTTATTCAACGAGTTGCTCAATTTATGAGATTTCTTTTATTATGACTTAACCATCATTTAATATGGTATTGGGAGTTGTACGTGTGTTGTTATTGAGCTTATTTCGTTATTGTTAATTTGTATATCGATCCTTCGAGCGGGATAAATAAATGAAATTTCTAACACACGAATTAGCCTAGCCCCAAACTTAGCACTAAAGGGCTTGTGTTATTGGATACTAGGTTAACGGATAGAATACTTATACGGATACATTTATAAGTATATTTATTATTTAAAAATGCATATGAACATCCATGATTAAGGTACAAATGCTCGTATTCATCACACAAACATTTGCAACACCGGGATTCGAACCCGGCGCCCCTAAAAACTGGCGTACATATGACTCGAGCCACGAAGGTCGTCTGTTTTCTGATATAATGAGAATATAAAACTGACAATTTATAGTATGAATATTTTATTCTAATTTCATATTAATTTACAAAATCTGTACACACTATAGAAGAAACTAAGAGAGAGATAGAGAGTTACAAACGAAAATGAATATGTCAAGAAAACAATTTTCAAATAAATTGTAATTATACATTCAGGTTTGAATATCTTGGGTGCCTTTTTGAACATTATATAAATAAAAGCTTGTAAAAAGAAAACCAACTTCCTTAAAACAGATACACAAAAAAATTGATATACATAATTATCCTTTGCTCTGAAAGGTAATGTAAATTTTAAGTAAAATTAACAATATTCGGAGTCGACCCTTATGGAATTGTTTGGAAAGGCGATAACAAATTTAACAGAAGATTGGATTGCATGAACGTTTCTTGCTGTATCTGCATGTTTTTCATAACTACGTAATTTCATCTAACATGTATTTTGACGCTTTGATATGTATTATTCTTTCATGTCGTTTACATTGAATTGCTTCTATTTCAACAGGTTATGAGATATGCATTAAAATTTGTTTCATAATCATAGTTGCTTTTATTGTATTTATTACAATTTATTTACTTTTAATATTACTATTTAGTTAGCTACTAGTATTTTTTTAAGTGGACTTTTCTGCATACATTGACTAACAACGGCCGGCATTGGATTTTTGAGAATTACTCAGGAACCAAATTTTTTTTCTAGATAAAAAGTATCCAAATCTCCATCTAGGCAACAAACTACATCCATATCCGTTCAGTCGTTTTTTCGTGATTGAGTAACAATCATATTGTAATGGTCATTTATGATATTAGTACGGTAAGTTTGTAATACCAAGCCGCACGAATGTTATACAACGTTTTTCAACACATTTGCGTTGCAAAATGGCGTGTTTTTTAAATGGTGCCACGTGCAGGTGGTGAAAATTAGAACAACATCTTTTGTCTCTTTTCTTTTTGGCACTAAAGTGAGACATAAGTATAGACTAAAAGCGCTTCTGAAGAGGTTCGATCGAATTAAAAAAAAACCGTTATGAATACGCACAGCGCAGCGCTGTATGATTTCCGTAATTTTGAATTTTCGAACAATGTATACGACCTTCGTATATGCATTTTTTAGCAAACATGTTGAAAACGACTTAGATTTATAATATAAGTAGAATTAAAGGGAGAAAAAATGAGTTTGTTTCTTGTCGGATCTTATCATTTTAAGGTTTCCTGTGGTAAATTTTCGAACCGATGGCGTAGCTTTTCTTGTAACAGCCTAAACAATGTTTCGTAAACTTATATCATTTTCATGAGAAGTCCTTCATTACTGAAACGGCTAGAAGTCTACTTACTTCGTCAGCATTACTTTTAGCATGAGGCACATCTCAAGTTAAAACTGTTTATCGATTAAGAAAAGATGACAACACTGTGTTAAATTGATGCTTGGTCAAAAGCCATTGTAAAATGACTTTCGGCTAACAATATGCGTGTTTGAGGGTTCGGCACCTTAAAGGAGCAAAACGGATAACTTTTTGCCCGGCCGTCCGTCAATCCGTCGGTTTGTCTGTCCATTTAAATCACTCTTTCTCAGGAACGTGGAGAGGTATAAAACTGCAATCAATTACCTATAATTACTTACGCTGCGGTCCAAATTGAGCGATTTCGTACAATTTGCACCGATGCGATAGCGCGCATACAACTGGTCCGATATGAACGTATTCGATGCCAACGAAATCCGTGTGACGTCTAAAGTGACATCATCAAGCCGTGCAAACGCTGCTCACGAAAATAGGGTTGTGCAGTGTGTGCGCAAATATCAAACGCAAATTAGACGTTTGAAGTTTTGTGTTGCTAAAAAATCTGAATACTTGACTTACTTTCTCTTTGAAATTTAAGTTTTTTTTATTGTTTTGTACTGTATAATGTAAGTACAAATTGTTATTTCTTTCCTTATAATTCATTAAACTATTTGCCGTGGTATTGTATGACTGTTCTCAAAATTGATTGTATTCTCTTCGCAGATATTAAAATAATGTCTATTTCACTAAAAGTTTTCGATGCAGAATAGAACAGCAGTGTAGATCTTCGATCTTCCGAATTGATTGTGCGCAAACAGCGCTCTGTATTCAATTAGGACCTATCATTTGCACTGTTCGTAACGTTGGCAGTATTTTCGCAATTCGGACCGTAGGGTTAATCTAGCAATTCGTTTAGAGCAGTGAAACATTCCAAACTTCTAAGTCAATGCAAGCAGGGGATACAGCCATGTATACACATTACAACATACTGCATATTGTGATGCTCGCAAAGTAAGTAATAAAAAAAAGATCGATCTTGGGCTACGTGAGTGGCGTGCAATTGGAGAGGCCTATGTCCGGCAGTGGACTAGGATAGGCTGTTGATGATGATGATGAATAAAAAAATCGTGTACGGCTCGTACGACAGAAATGATAACTTAAAATAATCAAAGCGGCGTTGCAGGTTAGACTGAGAGACGAGGAGCTTGCCTACCTTTGCCGCCGTATGCGTGAGAGGAAGAGAAGCCAGACTGGCGCCGTAACGCGTTACGTAATGAAGCGGTTTACCCTCCCATAAGAAGTTATCACTTCATAACAAAGATGAACTAACTACTTGCGGATCTACCAGTTAACACGACCCTAGGTCCTAGTTAGACTTTTATTTGCTCGTATTTTTCTTCAATTAATTATTGTTTTTTTATTCAGTAGTCTATCAAGAAGCAGTAGCACACATGGATCTAGAGAGGCATCGCCACGTGCGCGATCCGAAGAGATCCCCTTAGAAGATATTAGGAGGAATGCCGCAAAAGCGTCGACTAAGCCCGTAGTTGCAGTAACGCAGGTATGTTATTATTATTGATGTAAATATAGATTACTTATTTCTTTGTCGCATCTTCCACAAATGGAATGTTTTGCCCGCTCACGTGCTTCCTCTCTCCTGCAACCCAGGGTCCTTAAAATAGGCGCGAAGGAGCATCTTACAGGCCGGAAAGATAAGGATGGCTGAGGGAGGTAAAACTGCTGAACCAGCTATCTTCGAGTCGGAGTTGGCTATTTATTTATTTATTTTCTGTAACAATACAATATGAAACAAACAATATCAAGTAATTTTAGTATTTATTTCTTTTGGTACACTATTACGTGGTTCTATTGCTAAGACATCAGATGTGAAATTAAATTCTCAAAATGTCAACGAAATATATTTTCTCCAGGAAGATGGCTGGTGTGGCAGGTAAAACTGCTGTATCAGCTATCGTCACGTCTGGACTTCACCTTCACTTAACATCAGGTGGGGTGGAGTCATTTGTCGGACCTATCTATAAAAAAAAAAAAAAAAGGAATTAATTGGAAAGAAAAGTCCGACCTGAAGCTTGGATCGCGTATATTTTTTTCTAGTAAAATTTGCAATGTCACTGTACTTATAAACTGTAGATGCAGCCGAATCTAACAGCCGAATGTGCCTTTCTTAGCACGAAAGAGCTCTAGATACTAAAGTTTATTTCTCAATAATACACATACACGCTTCTGATATGAACAGCGTCGGTTACCAAACCGACCTTTTTAAACTTACGACGAATTACTTAAGATCAAATTGGCTTCTTCCGCAAATCGAGATTTGTTTATGAATACGCAGGTTAAGCTATCTATTTTGATTAATTCAATTTTTTCTTTATTTCCAGTCTCAACCTAGTACGTCGACCCCTATACCTAAGATGGCCGCCAGTTCTTCAGAAGAGACCTCCTTTATTTCAGGCGAACCTCGTCCGAAACGCAAGGGTCTAATCGAGACTATTTGATATTAGCTCAATAACACCTAGAAACATATAAGGTAAAGTCATGACATCATAATCTGAACTCTATTTATGTAGAAAAAAAGGTTAAAATAAAATGACGGACGCTTTGAAAAAGCTTAGGTATGAGTGAATATTGCTGCGTTTATAAGAATGAATTAATCATGAATATAAATGAAAAGAGCTGTAGTAAGATACGAATTATTATCACCGAAGTTTGTGCCAGAAAGTAATAGGAATTGTTTAAATGAATAATGTAGAAAGTAATTTAACGTAAAATATTGTTCTAATATAAAAAAAAAGTACTTTACTATGCCATATTTTATAATTGGTATTCTTAAACAGTGAATGCCAATAAAAAAGAATCTATAAAATAAATAATAATATTTTATTAATTTGTTTAGTACATACAATAATAAATTAGTATATTTTCAAAATTCCGTATTAAACATTCGTTTTAAATCGCCAAATTTGTTACTTACACATATTACGTGAATCGCTTAAATTGACTCATGATATTTTTACGAAATATTGCCCCTTTTTAGTACGCTTTGGTGCAATCCATAACAAAATTATTTTAACAAAAACAAATAAATTAACAACTTGTCCTAATATTCAATCCTTTGTGATTTATTTGCTGTGTTTAACATTTAATTAAGTATTATATTAAGACAAAAATAGTAGTCTTGAAACTGATAATAATAAGTTTTAACAATAATGTATTTTTTTATAATTTCTTTGTAGTTAGTGAATAAAATATATTTATATTAACTCGAAAAATATTTATTTTTTAATTTAGTTCTCATGGAATCGCCGTCCATTCATTTAATATTACTGTCTATTATATAATGGAAAAAAGTTACTATTCCCTTAAAACTGTTGCACCGTGTTTAAATTTACTAAGTACATTTTTTTTCTTTTTGTATTTCGTAGCATACTAATAACAAATAGAATAAATAACATGTCATACATAAAATAAGATTGATAGTAGGTATATAGTTAGGTGTAGAATATAATGAATGTTGAATAATTGTAAATGAACGATATTTTTATAAAGATGTCTAGGGTTCTCTAGTAACGTCCGGATTTTCCTGTACTATACTAATAAGGGGACTTTTTAAGTTGAAATTAAAATACTGTTGAAATGATAAAACGACCCGTTACCTATTGTTCTAAATGATTTTTCGGCGTTTTTTTTTTGAGTAATTTGTAAATGAAATATTTTAAATGATATTTTAAGTTCTATGTTCGAAAAGTAAAATAATTACTGTTCCTATCATCATAGATCACCAAAAGTTTTATATACACCGTGTTCCTGAGGATATACATTAACTTTGAATAATACTTCTATAGCTCTTGTTAAACATATCGTACAAGGAAAGGAGTAGTTTAAATAGCATACTTTTTAAGTTATTGGTAATTTAAGTTTAACCAACTTAATTGTGTTGTGCAGTGAGAAAGTCTTTATCTGTGAGATGTTGCCACTTTGTGCAACCAAAACTACCAAACTGTCAACTCTTTGTCAATGGTCATTAAGTCATAGTTTCAAAAGTCAAAATTATAAAAAAATATTGTTGACGTCAAGAAAAGTTTCAAAAAGTTTATGTGGACATGTGAACCAAAGTTTCAAATGCGACGTTGCCAGCTCAGGTAAAGAGTAATTCATATTAGATAAATTACATCTAACCATTTAGTTTGTATGAAAATAAAAAATGTTAAAGAAATTGGAATTCATAAAAGTGTCCATAATAAAAAATGATCAATTTAATAGTCTGAATAACATGCCAAAGTTAGTGTATAACCTCAGGAACACGGTGTATAGTACAAGCCTGAACAAAAAAACTATAGTCTACGTCGCAGCGACGACACTCTTTATAGTGGTCATATAAACATATAATTTGATATCATAATATTAAAAGAAACGGTTCAAATTTATATGGAGGGTGGTAGTAAGTCTCCGGCAGATTACAATTTTTTGTGAGATATAGTGCATTTAATTGTAAATCGTTTGTCAAAAAACTAGAATTATATCTCCGTTTTTTTAAATTAATTATTATAGTGTTATCGTTTGTGGCATGATTCTCCAAACCCTTAACTTAAATTTGACAACAGTATATCCTTTTCATGTCTATAGAAAATGAAAAGGAGATACTGATGTTCGATTTAGTTTTGAGTCACTAGCGGCCGCCTTCGTACGCGTAGCGTTCGTTAGAAATAAAGGTTCTCTGCTCGTTCCCCGTAGGTGATAGTGTGATAATATGTAGTAGTAGCCTTTAACCCGATTTCTTAATGCAGTTCTATTTGAGTTTATCCCGGACATACATACAGACAAAAATTCTAAAAACTATATTTTTGGCTTCGGTATCGATTGTAGATCACACCTCATGTATTATTTTAAAAAAATATTCAATGTACAGTTTGACTTTCCTACCATTTTATTATATCTATGAGCCTATTTTAAAATTATTGATTGGCGAATTGCAAGTTTATTTACCATTTTTTTGTTGCCAAATATGATCATATATATGATTGACACCTGCCATAGTGATTGAATTGACGTTATAAGCTGCCACACACTAAAAATATGACGTTAATTATGACAGGGTGTCCATGACAGGGTGGGTGAAAGTATCTGTTCATGTTATAGAAAAAAAACAAGCTTTCAAATGATATATGTTTCATCGATGCCGGAAACCGACTACCACATTTCTGTCCATCAACCATCTCCTTTGTCTAATATATTGACGTTTCGTTTTTATTACTTTCAGTAGGTGCGTAGTCCTTAAGTTAGATAGAAACTAAAAAATATCTTTGTGAGGTCGCCTTACGGAAATGAAGTTTATTTTAGTTGACAATGATAAATTTTAATAGTACGCTCTAGTAATATGGTTTATTTCACACGTAATTGGTACTAACCATGCATGATCTTATTAACCCTACATAGCTAACGTTCCTGAAGATCTATGTTAAGCTAACCATTCGACTTTTTGACGATCATTTTTTTAAAGTCTGTTTTATTAAAGTTTTATTTTATTTTAATTAGGTTTATTTTATTTATAGGAAATATGGGATATGAATTAAAAGATAATTATTATAAAAATGAATATTTATTTAACTTTTAATACTAAATCACAAATATAAAATGGCACGTACGTTTCTTTGAGATCAATAAGCTCTAAATCTTACAATGACTAATTAGGAACTATTTTTAAGATAATGATTATATTTTTTTTGGTACTATAAAGAAAAAAACCTTAAAATTAACCGTAATATCAAATGACTTGAATTTTTTTAGCACAAGTTGGGCAAAAGTCAACTGTATGTTCGCCACAAATGGGAACTTTGCAACTATTGCAGTGATTTTTTGTCATACGCCTTTTCTTGTATGAACACAAACTACAGCTTTTCCTTTTTCTTGTCGAGGCATTTTCAGGAAGCAGATGACTTCCAGAGTCAGATTGCACAGGAATTTGACCATGACCTTCATCGCGTTGCTCATGGTTCAAAAACATCATTTGTGATGATATAATCTTCATCACCTAACGCACGAACTATTTCGTCATCAGTGATGAACTTTGCAGCCATTCTTCACTATCAACGTTATAACTAAAAAAAAAACAAAGTAAAAATCAAAAAAGTACAGGTATAAAAGTTACGCATAAGCTAACCATTCGTCAAAATGACGAGCATGCAGTAGGTATCTCAAAAACAAAAGTACTTACCGGCTAAACGCGACCACCACGTGACGTGTTCTAGCAGCCACTGAATTGGCGCGAAACCGCGAGTGTGTAGGTAAAACCGTTAGAAAGGGAGAGAAGGATATTTATTAGATGTTCGTAATTTTGACGAACGTTAGCTATCTAGGGTTAATAAAACTAAAACTTTGGATACATAGCGAAAAATTGTAACACTTTATAGTAAGTACATAATATTCTTAAACCTGTCTAGACTTCATTTATAAAATGAAATCTCAATGTAATTATTTAAATAGTATTTATGTCTTAGTGGAATATTTACATTTATTACTTTTATTCTATTATTCTAAACGCACCATTTGGTTGTTTAAATTTGTAATTAAATATTATACTAAATTTTTGACATATTTAAATAAATAAAATTATTGGTATATATTTTTATTTGTATGTGCTGATTATGAAAATTATTATAATGTGGGTAATCAGTCTTACCACAGTCTAGATACATAAACACTGTTTCTCGTTGTACCTACACACCGATATGTACTAGACTAGATAATAAAAGTGAAATTGGATAGCATTTGAAAAAAACTGCCCAACTTTGAGGCTGACTGTACCAATTCTGATCTCATATTGTCTCGAGTAGAGCCCTTTTATTCTATGTTAATAAAGTAAAAAATTTTGGAATGAAAATTGGATTACGCTGCGATGTTGATGTAATTCTAGGTTTCAGTGAGGTTTCCTTGGTGTATGTTTTGGATGCGTATCGCCTTTCCTTATGTTGTGATTTTATTTAAGATTTGCAATAATTAATTCTTCTAAATATTTTTACTATGTGTATAGACATCAAGAGACATTATTGTAGAGTTGAAATGGAAAATATATCACATGTTACATTTATTTATGTAGTTTTGTTTATAACATGCCCAAAATGCTACACTTTAATTATAAATAACGGACGTTACAAACCTTAGTTTTTCTAACCTTATAATTACTATGATCTGATACTACGCATCCAGATCGCATAATGAGTATATATACTGACCTAAATACACCGAGTCCACTAACTATTAATATTCAAGTTAAATTACCCTATTGATTGAAGTCTAAGTCTGCGTCTTGGTATACATAACCTATTTACGCAACAAATTCAAGGGTACTACCTACGTGACCGCTTGTGTGACTTTTTAGGCGCGCCTAATGATTAAAGAAGATTTTTGTGACAAAAATAAAACTGTTAAACGACGGTCCCTGCCAGTGACTATTGAACTAACTCCAAAATTGTTTGCACTTTCTCACTGTAAGCGGTTTTGCAATTTTAAACTTTATATACACACTTAAAAGACTAGTATTGCCCGCGCAGTATTCGCGGCCGCCTGAGCAGTCACACGGCTGCGCGCGATGCCGCTTGCTCGCGAACATTTTCATGCGATACTGGTTATGTAGCTAGATAACGTTAAAAAGAAAACACACTGCTATCAGTGAGAAAGTGCTCAAAACGATTGCTCAAAAACAAACGTTTCATGAATATGAGCCGTAGAGCTTTATGTAATAAAACCAGGGTTGTTGAAAATAAAACCATTGTTTCAACTATATTTTCATTCTAATTTTATTTGATTAATCATCTGCTCTATACACATGATATGCACCAATGCCTATAAATTATACAAACGATGTAATGAACCGTACGAGGTATGACACAAAATTATTTAACACACAACGAAACAATATTACGATCCATTGCTCTTTCATCACCAATGATTTTAACTATATAAAATCTATTTTAATAACTTTCAGACAACGTCTTTGAGCGCATACGCATACTTCGCCACGCAACAACAAATTATATTAATTTATTTTTTTAAATAATTTTTTTTATCTCACTTCGTTCAACACTTTTAAACAACATTTAAATCACAGTGCTCCGTATAATTATTATTCTGTACATGTACAACTTAGGTACAACCTACAATGAAGTTACACAAGAAATTTCGATGTAAATAATTAATAGTAAACTGCTGTTAGGAAAAAAGGCGAAATAACTATATAGAGCGCTTTACCCATGGCACCGTATCCATTCCACATTATGTTTGCGAGTGAAATTATTGAACGAATTTATATTAACTATCTGTATAAAAGTATTTGTATAGTTAGTTATATTACACACTAGCAATGAAAGAAATATATTACAGTTAAATATAAATTATTCTTAACGTAGCGAATGTGACATACTTACATTGTAATTTGGTCGGCGCAACTTATAAAGTACTCAGTAAATGTAGGCATCAATAGCAAATATTTTGGAACATTGAGTAACAACTAATGTCTTACTTTCGCCAATTATTGTACACTTAAAGAATTTAAAAAAATGCGTCTTCATTTAGCTTTAACAGAGACGCTAACGCTGCATTCATAAAAGTCAACTAAACTCACAGTGATAGCGTCGACTTTAATCAAAATTATTGATGTTTCCGACTCTGTTACAAAATTAAATGTGTCTCATATCGGTAATTAAGTATTTTTACAAAGAACTCCACACAAAGATGACTCTAAGACGCATTTTTACTTAAAACTATGAACAGCTAATACTTTGCTATGTAAAGTTAAAATAATCTCTAAGTATAATATTACAACCAAATTATTAGTAATAATTTTATATTTTTGTGTCTTCACAAGCATTTTGATAGATAGTTGTGTTGTTTTTTGTACCAATAATAATATCTTTACGCATGGATCTTAGTAATTTGCAGTTATTCACACGATAAACCGAATAAATATTGTAATTTCCACAATTAACTTTATTACGATAACGACAGCAATGAATTGTGATGACAATAAAAAAAAATGGTATGATAGTCATAATTGTTGTATATCATTGTTATTGTCCATTGTATTGATCTTTAACAGGATATTTTTTCATAGGTCAGGGCCAATCAAAGAAATCTGATTTCATGTAGCTACACTACAGCAAGCAACAAGTTATCCAAAACTGTGTCTAAATGGAGCTTTTATCTTGTTTGACATGAGATTCAGAATCGACTAAGAAAATATAATGCTGCAAAGTAAGATCCATATTCTTACAGATACATGCCATGCTGTGATTTCCAAAAAAGGAACCTTAGGCCTTACACTTACGTTCTAAAATAAATTTAACTATAGAATTAGCGTAACTTATAAGCACTTTTAAGGAAACACGTATATAGAAGCTTTGACGATGCAAGCTTGTCTGGAAGCACATATGCGCGAAACTCTTAAAGTAATATAACTTATTAGCAACATACATAGTAGAATTTAAGTTTAGCACAATTCTACAGAAAATAAGCAAATAATTTTCAGAATAATTAATCACACACAATAGCGTACTGTATTGCTAAAAGTATTGTCATGAAATTCATTATTAGTTCATAGAAAGCTTTATAAATAAAGCGTTGAATGAAGTAACTTTGAACTTTAGTAAATGTGTCTAGTATTTATGAAGTCCGTGTTTTTCTGACGCTCGAGTTATCTCTTAAGTAAAAATAGAGACTATATATTAACGTATTACCGATTCATTGTACCTACCACACACTAAACACTAAAAATTAAGTATATCTTAGTTAGAAGAAACAAAAATAGATTTAATATTAAACATATGAAAAACGTTATAAAATATTAGATGTAAATACGGTTTTGTCTCCATAAACTGTGTTTTTTTTTAATAATGGTAAAGCTTACTTCTCCCATGCTGATTTCTATTATTTTCATAAACTTAAAAGATGATCTTAAATTAAAATTGAGCACCGTGCAATAGAACAGCGCCATCTCATGGAATACGCAGTAAACCATTGTAATTTTATTCTAAAAACTATGTAGGTGTAGGTATGTATGTTTAGTTAAAAGCTAGTGAGACTAAGTATACGGACCTAGTCTGCAAAAAATAATAAAGTAAAAATGTATGAATCCAAATTTTGAAATTGATTGAAATGCATTAAAATTATTAAATGCTTAAAGTTAATAGTTCCCATAAAAAACCGCTACATAATATTCTCAATCATGTATAATAATTTATAACGAATAAATATATATAAGAATGGTGCCTAGGTATAAAAAGGTAATGCAGGTTTCAATGTTAAATATTTTTATCTATTATTATTTTCTATATATACGCAGACGATAAAGACGAGGTGCTTTCACTTTCGGATTTGTTCGAACCTATGTATTAATGAATTTTAAAAGATCTCCTGGAAATAAATTGAAATAAAACACACACAAACCTATTATTTGAAGAAGAAAACGTAATTGATCATTACCAAAAGTCTCGCAATAGGGTATAAGACAAGTTTAAAAAAACGTCTTTACGTCATTTACTAATGTTTATGGAGTCCATAAAAAGTGATTTTTATAATCTGTTTTGCAACTCAGTAAAAACCTTATTTAAATTTTAATTTTCAAGTTGCCGCGAAAACGTTTCTCTGGACATTATGGCGTCTCACTAGTGTGTGACGTCACATGATTGTCACTGTCACGTTTTTGATCACGTGACCATGTAACTATAAAATATTTTCTATTTAATAAGTTTACAGAAAAGTTATTAATTATCTGTTCTTTCAGAATAGTAAAATCGCTGCTAATATTCATATTAAATACAATTGCTAACAATTGGTATATAATTTTTCATATTGTCAAATAACCTATTGCAATGATTTTAAAAATACATAAATCGTGTATAGTCTACTCGGAATTAGTAGTTTAGTTTTTATTAACATAAAGTTAAATAAATCCTTCATCGGACGAGAACTCAAAAAAGTATCGTGTGATCCCAATGAAACTATTAATAAAATCGATTATATTATAATTAGCACGTTACTTACGTCTCGTCTGCAATAATTTTCAAAAATAAATTAACCCTGTTACCAGTTTATGTGCGCTTCGATCGTACAAGCAACAGTTCTATTACATACAATTTTGTATAAATATAGAAATGTAAATAAATTATTAAAAATTTTGAAACGACTTCCTAAGTACAAAATGTTCCTTTTTAAATATTTTACTTTTCTTAAAAGTAATTTTAACGATTAGCAGATGATGGACACACATTGTTTTTTTGTTAACTGATAAAATCCAATAAATGGGATGTCAGGTGTCTTGTGATCAATTATGTATTAATTTATACAAAGTAATATCGTCACACAAGCCAGTAAGTCTAAACGAAGCTCATATTTTCTCTTAACATCTATTTATGTCAGATATACTTAGGTAACTTTACTCTCGAGAATTTGTAATAACATTTAGATTTTTGAATATTTTTTTTTGTATTTAGTAATTTATAGACTACACGGACAATATTACTGATTCCTTTATGTTTACAATTCCTATAACAGTTATGTATGTAAGAATGCGTTACATTTAGGAACTACTTTAATGCTGTTTACACACAAAACAATTTCTATTTTATAAGTATATGAAACTTTATATAAAAATATTACGTATATTTTGAGTGTTTGTAAAATGTGTTTGTTGAAGCATTGCTATACTGTATGTCAACATTTAGAAATCTTCCATTTAAATTTATTAAGTTACTACTCCTTTATGTATGTAGAGTTAATATGGAAATTAAGACAAACCTGAGAACCTTACCTCGAAAATAATAAATGAGTAATTGACCATTCTTACATTTAAATAATACAAAATAACTACTTTTATTCTGATTACAAAGGTATAATTGACAAAAACTAATCAAAACCTCTGTTTCGTCACATAGAAACTTAATTTCGAAGTGTTACCATTATTTAAAACACTTTACTCTCAAAGTGTTGTCATAAATATCGTATTCTAGCTAAAATCTGCAGTTATACACTTTAATATTTCACTACTAAAGGTGCAAATATTTTCTAAAATATATAGTATATTTATAAACAGTATGTTATTATATTGTGCCATATACAACGCACGTGTAACACACATGTAGGTACCTATGTATGAATAGATTACTGTACGTTCTTACACATAAAAAACATGTACTGTCAAACAGTATCACTCACTATACACCAACCTTTAGTATTTAGCTAACTATACATAATAATAATAATTTATACTTGGTGTTTATCTGTAGTTCATACGCCAAGTAAAACCGCTTTTTTGTAAGTTTAAACAATTGATAAGTTGTCTATGTGCTACTTTTTAATTTATAATTTCATAATTAGTAGGTAAAAAGCTATTACAATTGCTGGCTTCATGTTTCGATTTTTTCATCCTTCACACAAATCACATGGCACTAGTGGCAAACAGACAACTTTTCCCACTTTGATAAAACATAGATCAATCACGAAACACTAAAATACTATAAAATTTTTAAACAAGTAGAATATTTTAATTTATTTACTCTGAATGTATTGATATTAGGGCTTGCTCGATGGTAACCGCTCTCATTGACCAAGCAAGCACCAGATGCAACTACAGAGTACGTATAACAATCTATGATGAAATATCGTAGTTTACATACAAAGGCGTTCGTTGAGTTTCCATTTTATGATCTGTCAATTTTGGCAAAATAGTAGATGTCGATATATTGGGTTTTATGGTTGCAACGCTTGCCGACGCAAGATATTCTGTCTCTCTCGCACGTTACTTAGAATAGCATGTGCGGAAGGGATAGAATGTCTTACGTCGTCATTTGCGATTCCTTTCTTTAACGTTACAAGTTATAGAAGACTAGAGAGAACTTGCAAATAACTATAAGCTGGAGAACAAAGTCATTTAAGCACCGGCTCTGCGTGTTTCTTCGTTTACCATCAAGTTAGTCATATGCTTGTTTTGCTTAAACTTTAATATCATGTTATAAATACTGGATACGTTTTACTTTTATAAATGGACTCGGCGCTTGAACTACTTTACTCACATTATTATTATGTTGGACATAATTAAAATAAAATCAACGCATATACGCCATAACACTTTATACATCAGTTAACAATCATTATTGTCAGTTATAAATCTATTTTTATGACTTTTATATTTATATTTAAATATAAATTCGCATCTAGTAGTAGGCAGTTTTATAACACAATTACAATGTTTATTATATTAAATTCACTATTTATTCGTACTGCTACGAGGTATGATCTTATGCTGTTTTGCCTACTTAAAAATACTAAACATAGGTACTTGCTATTATGCTACATCAAAACAAGAAATTATATCATTTACATAGTCACATCGCGTCACATCTAGCATCCATACGGTACCCAAGTACCAACATCTAGAAATTATTCGTATCACCATCGTTAAAGCTTCTATGGAAGGAGCTAGCTTGTTCTTACGCCCGGTAAAGGCGCTGCGTAGTTTCCATAGAAACTTTGACGTTGCGATACAAATAGACGAGAACACTTTCTCGCTAGTTGTTCTTGCTTGGGGTAGGTAATTGAACTTCTATGACCGCTGTCCCGGGTAAAAATTAATTACACAGAAATTAAATACCGAGCGTACATATATTCATCAATCTATAGGTATATATTTTGCAATAAAGTTTAAATAAATAAATAAATACATACGCTCTGTACGCAGTATTTATCATTTAAAAGTAAAACGGACTGAAAACATTCGTGTAATCTGCTTTACATGTAAATATCTAGGTATGGTCATTTTTTAAAACACCAATTATCCTAGTCCCAAAGTAAGCATTGAAAGACTTGTGTTATGGAATACAAAACTGAAACTGAAACCCGGCGTACATATCACTCGGTCACGGAAGTCGTCATTTTACTGTGATCTTCTGATGCATAGAAAATTAATACAACTAAAAACTACTAAAACCAAATAAATACTTCAGTACAAGCTGCTTAGGATAAATACTTATATAGTAAAAACTAAAGTTAAATAAAACTAGTTTTAACGGGTTAATGTACGAAATTTATTTATTTATCTTTTTGCAGCCTTTTCAGGTCTGCATCGTCAGAATAATGATTTTTTATTTACTTTGTCGAGCTACCTTCGAAAGACGTTAAAACTAGTTTTATTTAATGAGTGATGTGCGTGAAAACCTAAGAAACAAAAACTAAAGTTCTAACGGGACCGAGGTTATTGTGAATATGATTTATGTTGATGTAACTAGGTATTTATAATTAAAAAATGCGGATAATAAATCAGCATGGAATCACACCTCATACGGCAGACGTAACCCTACATTGGCTTTAATATGGATGGAACTAGCACATTCAGTATTAAATCGCTACACAGTTAGAATGAACGCTTTACTTTTCACGATACGAATTCTACGGTAAAATAAGGAGATGTCGAAGCCAATAGATAAGTCTATGTCATGAGCATTTATATGGCATAATAAATCTCAAGCCGAGTTGTCCAAAAAAATTTCTTGCCAACCTTTTTAAATTAGACGATTTTGTTTTATTTACTATAGGTAGATATTTCATTATAAACACGGCTAGATGTTGCATTAACTGCATGGAAGCGGTCCAAAAATATCTACTACTTATGGTAGATACGCTTGTCACTACACACGCACACATTGACTGTTTTCAAACAATCTGACATTAGAATCGCGCATATTACGCGTAACATAAGCCGTTGACGAGTTTGCTTCTGGCGAGCTGCCATCTATCGGATTCAGGCGAGTCTATGTTTGGGTGTAAAATAAACTAGGGAGAAAGATAAGGTAGTAGATAAGATTGTAATAAGTTTTCGAAATTATGGGCCTTCAGAGATGTCTGAAACTGGATTGACTATAACAAGGCTTCGCAAGTGCTCTAAATGTCGATCCTATGAGATGTCGTGAGGTTACATCGCGTCTAACACTTATTTACCAGCTATATAACTTAAAGTAAGTGTCACATTCTCTCGTGAAATGCGGTTGGCCAATATTTTCCTATCCCTAGTTACAGTGTTTCTGCGACACAATAGTTTCGTTGGTTTATTTATTTCTTTGTCTCTGAGGTGGTTGGAATTCAGCTATCACAACAGACCTTTTTAGATTTTATATTAATAAAAATTTCACTAAATTAATGCTCAACCCATAGACTTAACTATATAAAAAATCGTCTCACTTAAATTGACAGCGCCAAATCGCTCGCCGACATTTATTAAAGCGTTCATAAATGTCTACGTTCTTTTATTAAGTACAGTCGGTTCGTCAAATTCCAGCCTCGTGGCCAATAATCCTTAGAAGCGATTCTGACGTCAACTGATTTATCATACAGTGTGTAACGAAACATTTGACGCAATCCAAATCCAATAATTTCACTGAGATTTCAAAGATTTAGTTAGACTTATCAAACTATCAAATCACTGTGCTTTAGTAAGTTTATCTTCAGTCGTATCACTATCAAACGTTTGGTCACACACACAATATTCAGCAGGTACGCGTAGTAAGTATAATTAATAATTTAATTAGCCTCACAGTAATGAAACTAGCAAAATATCCTTAAAATTAGATACGAATATCGATATTTAGCTTGCGAGAATATTCAAACGTGCAAAGGAAACGATCGTAGCCTATATCGAATAGAAAAAATCACTGAAAACGGTCAGAGTCACGCTATCACATAAATAAGTCGTTCCGTTCACCAAAAGTCTCGATTGTTCGTTCGGCGAGTATAAAAAGGGGGTATTGCGACAACCTTTATTGCTTGTATGTTTAAGAGCGCAGTTGGGCGGGACTGAGGACGAGTTCGCCATCGGGCCCGCCGGCGAAGGAGACGTTTCGCGGTGGAGGTCTCCGCGAGCCTGGTTGGTGGAATGCGCTCTGCTGGGACCCGTTCGGTTGGAGAGCGCTTTGTTGAGACCCGCTCGGCAGAACTGTTTGTAGTGCGCTCGTTTGAGACGCACTCGGTAGAACTGCGCTTGTTTGAGACGCGTTTGGCAGAACTGCGCTCGTTTGGGACGCGTTCGGCAGAACTGCGTTCGTTTGAGACGCGTTCGGAAGAACTGTGCTCGTTTGAGATGCGTTCGGCAGAACTGTGCTCGTTTGAGACGCGCTCGGCTGTATAGCGGTCGGTTGTGATGAGCTCTGCCGAACAGCGCTCGTTGACGCGTTTTGCCGCGGTGCGCTCGGCTGGGAAGAGCTTTGCCGCAACGCCTGTGGTCTGGCCTGAGCCTGCACTCCTTCTGTATTCTGCTGTGCACTCTGTAAGGCCTGTGAGTTGAAACAATATCAAAAGTTAAAAGGGGAAGAAACATATTTGCGTATGAGTAGATGATAAATAATCTCGTTTCACATGTAAAAACAATAATCAAAAAACCAGAAGTGTCAAAAATGTCTTACAATTTAGCTTAATATTGAAATATTTTCATTGTTTTGATATAAAGAATTTAGCTCTAAGGTTTTATATCAAATCTAAAGATTAATCTGCCATGTCAGACTTAGATATCCTCAACACAACAACAGAATTGAGTTGAACCCATGTGTTCGATAGTCAGCAGCAAGTGTTACGGCGCATATTAGGTAATGCGGTACTGATGCGGTTATTCGTTTTCCTAAACGTAGAACATACTTTTCTCACCTTATCTCATATCCATACAATCTAGACCAGTAAATCTGTAGAACCAGCAGGCTGATTCAAACCAGCAGGCTGATACAAACAAGCGCTTTACCTCCTCGCAGTTTCTCAGGCTAGACACGTCACACGAAGAGAACTCGAGACAGCGCGCGGGCGAGCTAATCATCTTTATGAATGTGGTGAAAATTGGAACTAACGCCGCCGTCTGTGTTAACGTCATATTTTGACGTGACAACGTCTTAAATTAGGTTGCGGCTGGGAGTCACTTATGAAAAAGTGTAACGCTCGGTAACGTTACGATGAGTCTCTCGTGTTAAGTTTAAGTTTACATGTACAATGTTTTAGTAAACAAAATATATTTCTATAGTTAAAATTTGTGCAATTCTTATTTTCATTCAATTCCTTGTTCCTATTGTGCAATTTAATTATATTCATATCAATAAATATTCTACCGAGAAAAAGACGTTGTCACGTAAAATCTTCGCCCGTAAAACCGACTTTACAGGCAACCATTTTTTTATGTCATTTACAGTAATTTACGTAGACAGTGGCGTCCTCCCTGAACTGTCACTCACATACATAAAGAATCTTGTTGCACTGTAGTGTACACACACGTGGCTATAGGGCCGGCAGTGACTCGCCTGTTGGGCCGGCATCGACGGCAGGGGCAGGTGGTTGGGCGCGGGGGCGGTGTGGTACCGACGCAGGCGCTCGTCCTCCTCGCCGCTGGAGAGGCTGGACGCGGGCAGCACTGCCAGTGTATATACACGCGGTTATAGGGCCGGCAATGACTCGCCTGTTGGGCCGGCATCGACGGCAGAGGCAGGTGGTTGGGCGCGGGGGCGGTGTGGTACCGACGCAGGCGCTCGTCCTGCTTGCCACTGAAGAGGCTGGACGCGGGCGGAACTTCCAGTGTACACACATGCGACTATAGGGCCGGCAGGGACTCGCCTGTTGGGCCGGCATCGACGGCAGGGGCAGGTGGTTGGGCACGGGAGCGGTGCGGTACCGACGCAGGTGCTCGTCCTCCTCGCCGCTGGAGAGGTTGGACGCGGTCAAAACTTTCAGTGTGCACACAAGCGGCTATAGGGCCGGTAATGTCTCGCCTGTTGGACCGACATCGACGGCAGGGGCAGGTGGTTGGGCGCGGGGGCGCTGTGGTACCGACGTAGGCGCTCGTCCTCCTCGCCGCTGGAGAGGATGGACGTGGGCATCACTGCCAGTGTACATACACGCGGTTATAGGACCGGCAATGATTCACCTGTTGGGCTGGCATCGACGGTATGTGCAGGTGGTTGGGCGCGGGGGTGGTGCGGTACCGACGCAGGCGCTCGTCCTCCTCGCCGCTGGAGAGGCTTGACACGTCGCACGAGGAGGACTCGAGGCGGCGCGCGGGCGAGCACTGAGCGGGACCCACGCGGGGACCGCCCCCACCGCGGGCCAGAGGCATCTCTTCGCCTTCCCCGCACCCGGACAGTCTGTTGGATATTCAGCAATGCCGAAGTTTAACAGAGTAAAGTAGATTTAATTTAAACCTGGACTAAAACTAGTACTGTCACTTTTGTTTGCTAAAAAGAAGACAGAAACAGCAATAGGTTTAAACCATGACTTACTTTAGTCCACGTTTTGGAGCAGCACGAGTTTGCGAATGGAGTCGGGGTAGATACTATACGGTATTGATAAGCATCTATACCTAGGCCATGTCGACCGCTTACAACGTTCTTCCATGTCACTTTTTAAAGAAAATAAGTAGTCTTTCGCTTACTGAAAATTGTTCTTAAATTCAAATTAAACTCTGTAATTTTGTGCTACTATAGTGTATCCGAATGGCAGAACTACAAGGGGTTAGAAATCATCTTACAAGGTGGTAAGGGAGGTGTCAAGCACATAATTATTTTGTCTTCCAGAAATCTCTACTTGACTCTAACTTCACAAAATGTGAATGGTAATATTATGAAGATAATGAAATTAGTATAAGTGTTTGTTATAATTATGATAAAATCTTATTTTGTTTAAAGAATAGTATGTAGTTAATATAGATTAAAGTAACCTTCTGCTCTCCTTGTAATTGGTCCGCCGTCGGCAGCATGGCTTCGCAAATATACAGAACATAATGCGCAATAGACAGCACGCGAGCCCAGTGATGATAAGAGACGGGCCCACCAGTCGCAGCGCTGGAGTCTTGAAACCCTGGAACATTTCCATAATAACACCAGTAAATTTCATAAAATATAACTTGTGAGGAAAAAATATAAAGGCATGATTCTGCTATTTTCGCAATAAATTGTTGTTTAAACACGTAGCGATGTGATAGAAGTTTCCATATAAAAGCTCTGAAGTTAAAAGGTGCTGCGTTTCTGTTGGTGAGTAAGTTTCAAGAGTTCTCCTACCGCGAGGAGATAGTGACAGCGTAGCCAACAAACTAGTGAAACTCTGGTATCGCAAGCGTCTATAGGTTATGGTGGTACTCGATGGCGCAGGGGGTTAGCGTGTTCGGTTTGCGATCGTCAGCCACAGAGCAGAAAGAGGTTAGAAGAGTGTTCATAGACCGTTTATACGGGAACCGATGTAGCCAGCTCGCCCCCACTACACTTCCACTCAATAGATACTAGCCAATCAAACGACGTGATCTAACAATTGAACCAATCAGCGCTCACATCCGATAGCAACGAAGCAATCAGAACCAAGATTTGGTCAAGTTATGAGCATTTGATCACACATAACTGTGGCGCGCCTGCCCCGCCCACAAGGCCTTTCTTACCTCTTTCTGTGCTCTGTGATCGAAGTTCAGCAACTTTTGTTATAGCCGGTTATTGGATAAGTGAGCAAAAATATAATATCGAGAGTATATCCGTGCTTCGGAAGGAACGTTATGTCGTTGGTACTGGCTTCATTTGCGTTAGCATCCACCAATCCGCACTAGTGGTAGGTCATGGCCCAATCGAAAGCTCTGTGAAAGTGGGAATAGTATTAGGCTGATGATGATGGTGACTACGGTAATATGCTAGGTATATGAGAAAAACGGGAGAGGGAGGCGTGAATCTTATATTTACAAATAATTGTAAATATAAGATTCACTGCAATAATAATTATTATGCGTATAAGAAGAGATGTAATAAGAGATGTCATTTTTATTTAGAAGTGAGATGCTGTTGTGTTTCTGTTAGTGGCTAAGATTTTAAAGGATACGTGAATCAAAAGTGCTTTGAAGATGCCTTTTTACCAAGGACATGCGAGGTAGCTAAGCGGCGTGCATGGAGATTATCCACCAATAGCTGAGCTAAGAGGCTAGATTACTGAAGTTATTCTTTTGGTGACTCAGGTGAGAGATAGTGAGAGAGTAGCGTAAGAGAGTCCGTTTATTAGACGCACGTCTGTAATGGTAGCCATACACACTACGAGAAATCGTTACGATTAGACTGTACTGTCCGAACGGTACCGATAAATCGTAGCGTGTATGTTATAAAACTGCACAGTTTCCTATACGTACGCCACGTACGATAAACTGTTCCGTTCGAACTGTACAGTCTGATCGTAACGATTTCTCGTAGTGTGTATGGCTACCATAATACATGTTTGGTGTTGCTATACAATGCAAATATATCGTGCGCATGTCACAAGTAGTGGCTCTGCGATTGTGTTGTAAAACTAGTAACATCTATGCAAATATGCCGCGGAGGCGCTACCTCGCAACTATTAATTATTTGCAACTCCTATTTCTCTAATAGTCACTCTTAGTTTCTCTTGTAGTCTAAAGTTCACCAAAGTTCTTTATATCAAATTATGTTTAAGCCTCATTCTCTCTATATTGACTTTAAACAACTGAGAAAGACTCGATGGGACAATTTATTGAACAGGAAAGCTTAATTTGATTAAAGAACGTTGGTGCCTGATAGGGCCATATGCACCAACGTTCTTAAATGAAATACAAACAGTCGTACTAAGAAACGTCAGTTAACTTTTAAGTTAGATTAAAGTTAAGTTCTGAGTAGGCGATACCCCGAAAACCAGTGTATATACCACTCACACCATGGAGGTCGTCCAATTGAAAAGACATTAAATTTATTTGACGTCTCGAAATACGTTCGCAAGTATTATAAAAGATAAATAGGTACGGTGTAATAAACAGTGCACAATACAGGCTTACATTATATACCTTGTCGCCGGTGCCGACGAAGTAGACGACCAGCCCCAGCGCCAGGATGCCCAGCCCGGCGTACAACAGTCGGGCCACTCCCCAGGGCTCGCCCGCCGCGCCCTCCGCCTCGCCGTCTGACTCGGATGATGACCCGTAAGAAGCGTCTCGCACCTATAAAATACAAAGATATTCATTTGTTTGAGATCTCTCTGCGACGTTGCTAATATTGCTAAGAAGTTCGTCTCTCTCTCCAACCGTATACTAGGTTCATTCCACAGGAAAATATTAAGATATTGAGAACCCCGGTCATCATCATCATTATCAGCCTTTTAATGTTGGTTATATTATTAACCCCACTGCTGGGGCACAGGCCTTCCATATGGATAGAATAGGGAGATTAGGCCACGAACCACCACGCGCGCCCAGTGCAGATTTGTGGATGCTAACGACTGCAGATGCAGACGGAGCACGGAGAAGCTCAAAATATTAAGTCTTTGGTTACTCATCCAATAAACTGCCCTTGGAAGTTTCTTAACTTTCACTATCGCGGACTGAACGCACTAACTACCTGAGTAATCGAGAACCCCGGTAACATTATGTAATTTTCTGCAACAAATAGAAGTTGGCTGGACATGTCTGTAGACGCCTTCAGCGCGCTGAAGTAAAGAATCTAGCACTTCGATATTTTTGCATTATAACGCATGCCGTAATGCTAATAATCTAGAAATTCAGGAAATTCATCATGCAACTTTAAAAATAATATCAATGTATGAAAGCGAAAACTTTCACAAAAAGGCCGCAGATTTGCTAATACTTGGAAGTAGCCTAATAAACTACTTATTGGACTAGACAACAAAGTAAAAGCGGTAAGATCTGGGTGTATCGCAATTGTATCCACATCGGGCATTTAGGGAAGGCTTGTGACCCTGAAGAGGGGAAAGTAAAGGTGTGGTGGTGATGATGAGTTACAGTTGTTATATGCCGTCATGTTCAATTCAGCATCATCATTAGACTTATAATGTCGACGCTGTTGAGGCAGCGGCCTTACGAACCTTCCGAATCACGGAAGAATTTGAGATACCAAATTTATGCCTATTGCGAAAGTTGCTTAAATTCTACGATCGAAGATCGAACGCGCTTACAACTTTTTTTTAAATGGGGCACAACAAATTACACCACTCACCCTGTTGTTAAGTGTAAGTGGAATCCAGTCGCGAAGATAGATGATGCGGCATATTGGCTTCCAATCCCTTACCCTATTTTTCTGTAAGGTGTACTTCTCTTAAAAACCACTTTTAATTAACAAGATTTATACCTGATTGTTCCTGTGCCATTTGCGCGGGTCCCGAGTCGCCGGGGTCGCCGAGTACGGAGTGCGCCGCGCCTTCAGACACGCCGGCGCCCGGCTGCTCATTGATGGTGATATCATACCCGATTGTTTCTGTGCCACTTGCGCGAGTCCCGGCGCGCGTCCGGTTGGTGTCGAGCACGGAGCAGCGCCGTCTCCTGCCACGCCGAGCGCCCGGCTGCTCACTGATGGTTATCATACCCGATTGTTTCTGTGCCACTTGCGCGGGTCCCGGCGCGCGCCCGGTTGGTGTCGAGCACGGAGCAGCGCCGTCTCCTGCCACACCGAGCTCCCGGCTGCTCACTGATGGTTATCATACCTGATTGTTTCTGTGCCACTTGCGCGGGTCCCGGCGTGCGCCCAGGTGGTGTCGAGCACGGAGCAGCGCCGTCTCCTGCCACACCGAGCGCCTGGCTGCTCACTGATGATTATCATACCCGATTGTTTCTGTGCCACTTGCGCGGGTCCCGCCGCGCGCCGGGGTGGTCTCCGAGCACAGAGCAGCGCCGTGCCGCGCCGCCAGCGCCCGCGCCGCCGCCGCCCACTGACAACGCCGCCGCCTCCTGCCACGCCGTGCGCCCGGCTGTGCACTGTAACAGATCACCGAGAACTTTAAGCAAGATCACAAGGCAGGTAGGGTATAGGTAGCGGCAAACTTCCTGAGCAAAACACAGACAAATAAACTTGGGCAATAGACGTTTTTGTGTGTAAAAATTGCTACTGCGCAGGCTTCCTTGTCTATGGTTATTACTCCAGAAGATTGCCGGGGTATATGGTTCAATCAAGTACTGCATAGATATAAACTGTCACTTGTTTGATTAAAAATAAAGAAATTATAAATCGATTATGAAAGTACGCGCGCTGCGATATCATCCCTTTTGCTTGTCTATTGCCAACGGCTGGCAGCTTAGCTTTATGAAAAATATTATAATTGAAATATTTTTGACAATCAATATAACAACGAAGAAACTCTTATGTCCGACGCCTATCTGTCTACGATTTTGATTTGAATATAAAATTATTTATAAAAAAAGGAAATGATATATAAGAATATTTATTAACAACAAGTGTGAGAAGCCTGTGTTCTATTGTGAACGCTCCTGTCATCGAAGTTACGCTGCCCAAGGATCCCCCATAGGAGAAGAACCACTACAGTAATTTGCATCATTAGTGCTAGCCATTTTTTTACATAATTGTAAGCTAGTTATAATATTTCACTTGCGTCTCGCCCTGGCTTAGCTCGGTTGCAGATAATGAAGAAAATATAGAATTCCTATTTGAAGGAATTATAACGATTTCCAGTTTGTTAGTAATTCATACTTCTAAAAATTCTAATTTTCTTGGCAGGCAGACTTGCACAATGAAATGTGTATCTAAAGAATTGAAATTGGATTTAAAAAATACTAGAAACATTTCAACTCTGCCAACGCGAATTTCAATTAAATAAAAATATTAAAAAATATAGCCATTTGCACGCACGTTCACAAAATTGAAGCTCAATCCAGTTTGAATTATAACTGTACCTTTTCTAATACTAATATTTTTGCACTATTGTTTTTTAACCTTAGCGTTTTGGCCTTAAGTACAGTCTTAGAACTCTTAGATAGGTTGAAATAGCGTGTATTCAATTTTTTTTTTATATTTCATACAACCTAATTTCCCCCATTCTCGTCTCGCTAAGGAAAACCTGTGTCTTCTTTTTTATATCGCCAGCTAGTTTAACGAAACAAACTTATCATGATCAGCCTTTGTATACAATATGGGAATACATTATACCCCGCTGTGGATTTGGGGGTATTACCTACAAGTTGTTCTATTGGCCTCGACGATATTTCATGTTCCGAATAGGCGGAAACGTTGGCTGTAATAAATGCCCATAAAATTCTCGTAAACATGCCGCGTACCTAATCCGGACGAAAGACAATATTCACGCACGATTGGTATCTATGATTTTTTTATATATATTTTTATGGGAAGGTAGAAAATCTGTCAATTGCCACGTGCCCGTATTATCCGTATTATATCAAGTCTGTATTGCTGGGAAACAAGATTTTTTCTGTAATCTCAATAGGGCGATTGTGCCACGCGGGCTCAGTTCTGATTGGTGGGTACAAACGACTGCAGAAAGCTTGTGATGGTACATTTTTGGCTGGCCATCCTATAACCGGCCATTGTAAAAGTTGCTCAACTACTAGGAAGTAGCCACTGTGCGATTGAGTTCTTCATAGCCAAGTACATGACAGAGCAGCACATTATAAAACAGTGAGATCGATGCGACCGATTGTTTGGTGTTAGGCTACATAATATTAGTAGAAGTTTTTCAAAAGATCACACGTAACTGCTTATGGACTCCGTTTAAAAGTAAATATTTCTCGTTTTGTTGTATATTTATGTGAAACATGCAAAATAATGTTCTGGTTTCTAATATGCCGCGAAAACGTTTCTATAGGCAATTTGGCGTCTAGACAAAAACCAATAAATTGTTGAAGCTATATCATTCGTTTACTTCATAAAATAAGTCGGTAGCTGCCTACCTGGCTATAACAAAAAACATTAATGATGATTGATTGATTGATGATGATATAAGTAAATAAGAACAGAATTGGCACAAAGATTTTGATAAAGGTATTGAACTCTTTAATCCTACTAATATTACAAATATGAAAGTTTGTATGTTTGTTACTCAATAACGCAAAAACGGCTAAACGGATTTGGATGAAAGGCACACAAATATAGTTTTTTTTCCTGGAAAGAGATACTTTTTTATCTCGGAAAAGTGTTAGGTTCCTGTGCGATTTTCAAAAAACTACAGTTAATGCGGAACAAGTTACGGTCGGCCGCTAGTCTGCTCATATTTGAGGCAGGTAGGCATGCATTTGAATATGGTTTACTTTAGGTACTGTAATCAAAAGCATTAAAACGATAAATCTATCAATATTGGTTATACTGCCCTACTAAGCGCAAAAGCGGTATCTCAAAAAATACTGAAAATTTGATTTTTATGGCATGGGGTAGCTTATAAAAATACGCATCTATTGAACTAAGCCCTGAAAGCGGTATGCTATTTAAAAGGTATATAAAAACGTTAAGAAAGTTTTCTCTACCTCGTTTTTACCTTAGGATATTAGAGGTATATCAATACAATGTAGAAAACCAGCCGTATATTTAAATACCGCCAAACAAACTAATATTATATATAAAATACATTTAATAACCAAAAATAACAATCTTTAAATTAACTAGAAAACGAATTTTACTTTCGGGATAATTGACGTTATGTCAATTATCTCGAAAATAGCTTTCATTGAGATATCGCTTTTGGGCTTAGTAGGGCAGGGTAGTCATTTGAATAATTATGTGGTGTGAATTTGTGACGCTTCTTGAAAATGATTTAAAAGTTAAGCTATTAACTATGTTTTTATATATGTCAGAATTTATAATACTTGGTATGCAAATTACGAGTACGTATATTGATTATTTTGAAAATAGTGCTTCGTAACTTTAGCTTCTGAATTAATAAGTACTGGTGAGCCTCATGGTTCCGCCTTATTGCCTCCCTTTTTTTCTACTGCATTTCAATGATTGGATTCCGCCTGGGAATAATTATTACTATGCTATGCAGATTAGTATAGTGCATGCGGGATATTTAGGATACGCAACGACTGAACGGGTAGACACTAAGGAAAAACAGGAGAATCTTTATCGTTGAGCTCAATCCGGGTTTGGATCACATTTCTGAATGGGTTACCAAGAACTTGGTAGAGTCCAATGTAAGAAAACTGGCTATTTTCGATTCTTCCAACGTCACTAAATCAGGTGGATCAGAGTAATTTTTGTCGCATCTTTTTATATCAAAAGAATCGAGATAGTATTGATATGACACTTGTCGCAAAACACGACGCTATGCTTTTTTGTTGAAGACTATCTAATCTAAGGCCTACCCACAGGCCCAGACCTCACTGAAAATTAATCATAGAAATTAGGCGTTAAAATTACCGAATCTTTTAATGTGTTCTTACTTGAGGTTTTATCTTTATTTATTTAAGCTAATGGTACCTACATTATTTTAGACAAAAAAGCTTACAATTAAAGTGCGTGCGAACGAAAACTAACAACAATCAAACAGTTTTCAGTGGTAACATTATTAATGACAATAATTTTAAAGAACTTGACTAAACAGACTTCCGTTTACTAGGTATTTCTATTGACACCGACTGAAAACTTTTTTTTTTCTTTAAGGTTTTTTTGTGATGTAAGTTTATTAGTAAAGTCATATTTATCTAATTTAAATAATCATCAGCCCCTTTCTCATCATTAGATTAGGTCCATTATAATCTATACTATTAATAAAGAGAAAAGGATACACTGACAGACTGACTGACTCATCAGCGCACAGCCGAAACGGCTAACCCTAGAATGATGAAATTTGCACAGTTGGTTCCTATTGTTGCCTAGACAAGTAATAAGACGGGATTTTTTGAAATTCGGCCTTTTAAACATGAAATTTGCAAAAAGAATAAGATTTCTTCCCTTGGACCTATTGATTGCAAATTTTGCATAAACATTATTTAATAGATGTACACTAAGCCTGTTACATAACATTTTTACAACTACACTCAAAAAATTACAAAATATCGTGTCAAAGTTTGTATGGGAGATCGTCCAAAAGTGCATAGGATTAATTAAAAATTTTCACACCTCTGTATAAAATATCTGTGTTTTCATTTTTCAAAACTACCCTCATAAAACAAAGATATAGCATGTTGAAGTTTTAAATAGTGCGTCAACGAACGCCTACACTTTTGATCGTAGAGACATGATATTTTTTAGTAAATAGGTTGTTTAAATGACGTAAGCATCAATTTAGAAAGGATTTTTGAATATTCTATCGTGAGTTGGGTGATATAGGGGTTCAAACTTTGAAACTAGGCTTAAATAAACTAAACTGAAACTTAAAAAAAGGTATTTCATATTTTTTCGAAATTCGATCTCTGCACTGTGAAATAAGGATAGCAAGTTAACTATTAAATATACTCAGCAAATTTGCTCTAAATTGTATTAGTAGCTGCGCCCCGCGGTTTTACAAGCGAAGTTCCCGTTCCCTTGGGAATTCCGGGATAAAAAGATATTCAACCTATATGCCTCAAAGAAACTCTTTGCTTAACAGAAAAATCAGGATGACCATGCCCATGGCCAAATATATTGAATATATTCGACATAATATCTACTTAGAAGCTGAAAAATCAGTGTGGCCATACCCCTGGCCAAGTAGATTTTAGATATTCGACCTGTTTTCAGCAGATTTGCTCTGATTTATTAATGATTAAATACTCTTAAAGCTTAAACTTCATCATTTGACATGTGAATGACAACTGGGCTAATGTTCGAGCAGTCTTTAGTTTACCAAATATCAATGTCTTGTTCTATAAAGGACTGTACTTCTATATCTATCCTATACTATCTTTACTCTATACCAAGGGTGCTCAAACGGTCGATCGCGATCGACTGCTAATACCTATATATGCTACGGTACACCCTACCTAGGTAGGTAAGTAGGTGAGGTGTATCGTGTATGTATGACAACCCTGCA